GGAAGCAAGGCGGCGGTGGTGGTTTCGAACCTTTAACTTGAAGACAGCTTGAGCGCGGCTATAAAACTTGTTAGTAAATGAAGTACTATAGGATGTGATGCTAGACAAGAAACTCACCGAATGTTCTCGTACAGCGTGTCGGCTTTGCGTTCAAAAGTCTCCCAAGTCTTTGCTTTCGTGTCAGCGATTCTCCTCCCCAAATATCGTGGAAACTTACCTCGGCCTGTTTCGTCATCTCACCACAAGCCTCTCCAAAGTAGGTCATCTTGGCCTTCCGGACAGCCTCCTCCAGCTTCTCGGGCGTGTCCAGCGTGAAGTCGACGACGCCGGACAGGACCTCGTTGACGCATCGGTTGAGGGCCTGGCGGTTCCACTTGTTGACGAGGGAGTCCAAGAGCAGCAGCTTGGCGATGTGGTAGTCGGAGATGCCGCTGGCCAGCCTGTTGCGGGCCTCGGTGACGCGGAGCTTGGCCTCTTCTTGCGAGAGGCTGAGGTGGGCGACGTTGCTCTCGAAGGCGGCCTTGGCGGTGCTTTCGCAGGTGGCGAGGTGGGATGTGATTTTCTCCTTGGACAGGAACCTGGTGACTTGGAGCGTGTCGCTCTGGTTCTTGAAATCGTCGATTTGGGCCTTAACAACTCGGTCAAGCTCCTTGTCAATGTATGACAGGAATTCCTTCAGAACTGTTTGAAAGTGTTAGCAGCCGATGGTAAATGAGGAAGGGGAAATAAGATATTCTTACCAGCTGAGTACTTGTCGCCAAATGTGCTCTTCTTGGCAGACAGTTGGTTGTCAAACTCGTTCAGGTAGTGGTCATACAGACGGTTGCTCATGGACTTCTCCTTCAAAAAGGTAATGAGCTTCTCACGGGTTGCTGTGGTGTCAGTGAGGGCCTTGAACTCTCCAACATCGTCCTTGGGCAGCAGAGACTCGTCCAGCTGTCTCTGATAAGCTGCGAGATGTTTTTCTTAAGAAACCAGAAATGTTAGTCAGAGAATTGACAAAGAAAGATTCGTAGTCTCAGTTATTCAAACTTACCAAGTTCCTGGGCAACGTCCTTGGCCATCTCCTGCTCTCGAACAGTAACCTTTGCCTTGACAAGGTTCTTGGCCTTGTCAACCTTTTCCGCGTAATTCGCCTTAATCGTTTCTGCATTCTCCCACAGATACTCAGTATCGATGGTGTTGTTGTAGTGCGTCAGATGAGAGCTCTGCTCCTCATCCGCGCTCGTCTCCCAGATAGACTCATCGCCGATCAGAGTCTCCTGGTAAAGTTTCTCAAAGGCGGCAGCAATTGCTTCGGAGCTTGTCGTGTCCTGCTCAACAAGCCATGAAGCCCAAGCAGTATTGAGGTTCTGCTTGGCAATCGCCGCAGCTGTGAAGAATGCGCGGTCGTATGTGACTGCGTAGTTTCCCCTCAGAGCCTGCTCGTCGTAGGATGAGATCTTCTTCTTGTAGGCTTCCAGCAGGTCACCGTGAAGCTGATCCAACATCTTCTCTGCGGTGTTGGAAGAAATAGATTTGAAGTCGGAGACTGCATCATTCACAGTGTCTTGTATTGAGGCAATCAAATCAGCCAGCTCCTTCTCGGCGAATGCCTCAATCTTCTGGAGGTTTGCGGCCAAGACTTCATTTCGCTGGCCATCCGACTCCTTGATAAGACTCTCACACGTATCCCTAGGATTGTTAACGAATAGCCAAGAATGGCACAATAGGCTTTGCTTCTTACTTGATGGTCTGCTGTGAGAGATATTTGAGCGAATTACGCACATCGGCCATGCATTTGTGCATAATACGATCGAGTTTCTAAATCCAACTCATTTAGCACAAAAGTGACGTACAAAGAGAAAAGCAAGATGAGCATACCTTGTTGCAATCCTTAGTGCTGATGAGTGCTGGGTCCTGGATCAGCTTATTGCATGCTTCCCTAAAGTCGTGGTGGAGTTTGATGTGAGATCTGTTAATGGCCTCGTTCTCGGCCGCCCGCCAAATATCGGGCACGTGAAGCTGGCCGTTTTGCTCAAGCCGGTTAATCGACTTGACGATGCTTGACACAAAATCTGCGGTTGAAGCACCAGACAAGGGAGCTCCGGCGACGAGTCGGGGAGTTCGGAGCATCTGGGACAGCTGGGCTCGCAGGTTCTTGAAGTCCTTGACGTAGTTGTCGTTGAAATCATCGAGAACAAGGAACTCCTTGGTCTTGTCGTTGATCTGGCTCTGCACACCCTCCTTGAGAGAGTTGCCACGAAGCAGGTGAACCTGGATTGTGTAAGCTCTTGTCGCTAATCCCTTCTTACATCTCAAATGTTAGGTCATGAGATGGCTTACTGTGACACCTTCGAATTCGGAGGCCAACTTCTCTCGAATCTTGTTTCTCCTCTTAACCGCCTCGGTCCTGCCAATTTCTTTTTTGAGGATGTTCTTTCTGACATCATCCACTGGTTGGGTAATTAGTATTATTAAACAATGTGAAATGGTGATTCATTTCGTATCATGTAGACTTACCCGAGCCTCCAAGATCATACCTTTTGACGACTGTTAGACCAACCAAATCTCATTCATGTTGAATGGAATCAAATGGGAAACTCACTTGTTGATAATAATGACCAACTGACCAAACTTTGGTCCACTGGTCTTCCTGTCACCACCGAAATTTAGCTTGTTAGCGGCCAGCGTCATCATCGCCAAGCTCGTCAGGATGGTGTCCTTGGCAACATCTGTAGTGTTGAAAACGATGACACGAGAGCATAGAATGGCGGGAGTGAAGAGCATGATACTGCCATTACTTTAGCATCTGCAAGCATGGTGAAAAGGGTGGATGCTACTAACTCGTACAAGTCGCCCTGGTCTCCATGGCCTTCTGTGTCGAGGAAGGCAACCTTTTGAGGATTTGCCAATGCCACCTCTACACCGTCATCAAGTCTGGAGAATTCCTTGGCACCCATAATCTTGTTTCCCAGATTCGTACCTATGCGAGAGATTGAGTTAGTAATTGTCAGCATATGCACAATGATTCTTCTTACCTCTTGTCCACGATTCGGCTCCGGGGCTGGTGGAAAACAGCGGCTCCTCCGTGCATCCCGCAAGAAGGTTCATGAGGGTTGATTTGCCACTACGCGTCGGGCCCATGATGCTGATGAGGTTGAGGGCATCGTTAATCTGTCGAAGATGGTGGTTGACGTCGTCGTTGCACTGAAGCACGTAGTTGATAGCCTCGTCAGGGTCGACGTCGGTAGCATCATCGAGAGCAATCTTTTCGCTTGCCGTCTTGACGCTGACGGCCTTGACACTGGTGGCCTTTACACTGGGGACATGAACACTGGTGGCATTCTCACTGACGACGATCTCGCCATCAGCATTTTCACCATCAGCGTTCTCGCCTTCGGCAATATCGTCAAGAGCGTCTTCGCTAGAGGGCTCCTCACTAGAGGGATCCTCGCTGGGGCTCAATTCGCTGATGGGCGCGTCGTCCTCATCCTTCTTGACGCCGTTGTCAATCTCAAGCCATCGCAGCTGGTCGCTGGTCCCGCCAGCAACCAGCTGGAAACTCTTCTCCTCCAGCTGACTTCACGGTTGGGCTCTGGTTAGCAAACAACATGCATCCGGATCATTGCAGAGAGAAGAGATAAGACGAGCTGGTTCCATACAGTGAAGGGTCATTGAGATCCATAGATGAACTGTTCATGCGCTCGGTGGACGTGCTGAAGCGGCCATCGCTTCTTGAGAGTCGCTCTACAGGTTTGGCATCAGACGACTGCAATTACGCGGTGAAGGAATCAGATAGGGCAAGAGTATCATACTGGCTGACTTGGACCACGACGGCATGCGCTGAGACAGCGACCTCATTCGCATAACCATGATGGCAGTCTTTTGTCAATGCTCGACGACGGATACTGATGAAATGCTTCACTTGATAGCCGTCGCTGGCATTGTATAATATAAAATGAAGTTCTCATCAAGCGGTAAAGAGAAAAAAGGCTGGAAAGCCCCCCAAACGCCCACTGAAAGGGATTAGCTCCCAGACAAGGATCATGAATGGATACAACTTGTGCCAGCTCCGAGTCCACGTCAATGCAAATCCTGGTGTAAGGCGGCGACATGTGATAGGCCGTTTGCAGGGCCTCTGCTCAAGTTGGGCTGCCATAACGTCCTCTTGCGGTGCCTGACTCTGCTTGCACAAGGCGACCTTTGTGAGGACCCCCTGCTATGCCCTGCTATGAAAGGGGTCCATCTATCCCGGTACACGTATTATTGGGGACATCAGGCGGTCACACACGTGGAGACTCGCTTCACTGACTCGCGCCTCGATTTGTGCTTTAGGGACTGGTGCGTAGAACACGTCAACCCATGAAGGCCAACCTATGCCTGAAGCGTGATAACGTCGTGCACGACGATAAGGCGGGGATCCGTCCATTGGCCTATAAGGCACTTGGAAAACGGTGGCGATGGGCCAAGGAATCGATTCATCGCATTGCGGTTCACCTAAAGACTAAAGTACATGCAATGCATAGGACGGACGGGCATCGTCTGCAGCGCGAACGTTAGGGGTCATCTGCACATGCAACCCTTTTAAACCCATCAGGATGTTTGCAGGGAGCAATTGCAAGCGCCGCGGATGCCGCCCGGAAACCCTTTTATCGACGTCCAATTGATCTTTGCTGGCCGAATGACTCTGATTCTGACCCAACGTCTGGTCGGTTTTGGTAGGTGGTTTCGAAGAATGGGCTCCTGTTTCCCGTTCCCGCTTCCGCTTCTTCTCTTCTCGCTTCCTCGCCTCGCCTCCTCTGTCCCGTCTCCTGTTTGCTTCGTTGCCTAGGACTCCTCAGAGTTTCGCCTCCTTTGGAGCCTCTTCCATGCAACTGCTCGCTGAGTGGCTTGTCGGGGAATCCAAAGTCTCCGCAATTCGGAGCAAACGCGTTGAAATAAGCAGAGATACTGTCCGTGCAAGGGGGTAAACCAACCCAAGCTCCCGCGCATTAACAGGCCGCCGTCCTTTCACCGAATCTTCGGAGCCCATTGCATAACTTGTGCTAATCCAGATAGCTAGCGGAAGCACCCGCTTTGGCCGAAGCCGATGAATAATACAAATGGAACTCACATCCAGCTGACTGGGAGGAGGGTCCAGTCTGCAAGTTTCCACTTCTTTTGCATCTTCTTTTTCTTTCCTACTGCACACCGAGATGACGGTCGTCTAGTTTGGGCAGATGCTAGTGCGGCCGGGTTGGGTGAGAAAAGAGAGAGAAAAAAAAAGTAAGACATTGTGTGTGGGGGTCTTTGTGATGAAGAGAGATTTACCTGCAGCTGCGGTCAAGCAGAGGAGATCACGAAGATGTGCCCCATATTGTGTCCTGATCCTGTAGAGAGAGAGAATGTGCAATTGTGACTGTGACTGTGCCGTGTTGTTGTGTGTGTTCATAAGACACAGCCACTGCATACACGAAATAAACAGACAAGCAAAGCAACACAAGATAGATAAAATAAAAATGAAACAAAAATGAAACAGAAGCCCAAGTTGCCACCACTTGCTAAGCGATGCTTGAGCACCATCCAGGATATAAAAACTCGACATCTGAAAACAGGGTATCAAAGCCTCGGCGCCTGCGCTTAGGCCGCGATCGCAACATTAGCTTCAACAACTCGAGCTCCCTTAGCCAACCAAACTCACAAGCACACAAACGCCCACCAATCTCTCCACAGGCAGATGAGTCCCCGTCTATCCACCTGCGGTCACCTGTCCGGTCCACCGATCAATACATGCATATTCTCCATAGGACTTGGTCTTTTACAGCCAGCATGCATCACGGCTGCATATATCCTTGTCTTTGATACCACGTATGATGATGACGATGGTGACGTCTTTGGACGAGACGATGTCGCTTGATAAAGTCCAACAACAAAGTGAGTCGAGTTCTTATCCGTATGACCTCGTCCTTCTGGGTCCTCGGCTGGCATCGTATCTCCATTGGCCTTGCTGGTGCCCGCTCTACTCATGGACATCAGCTTCATCCACAGCCAGTCCTAACGATGTCTCACAATATTATAGTGTTTTTTCTGGGAAACCAGCACCATTGGCCGCATAGATTCGTCCTAGTTTCTGGAACATCTTCTCATTGGTAGGTGGCCACCATCATTTAGTAATTTTCCGATGAAGATTGGAGATGTAGGGGGAGTGAGCAAACGATTCAAGATGCCCTTATCCGTATATCGCCCCAGATGTGCACACATCCTCGTTTGTCTGTAAATAAGTCCAATATTCCCCAAATTCTGTATCATACATACATGGTATAAGCTCCACATGCCCCATCACGCCGTATCCGCCGTCGAGAGCTTAAACCGCTATTCCAGGATAAGTGATTCCAAGAGCAAGTTAGGGTACCCTGGCCTCGTCGCTGGCGAGATCCAAATTGCGGATCCCATCGAACAAGTTTGAAGTGGCATCACTTCAAACATGATCTCCCTCAGACGGCAGCACGTTGATCCGATCGCGTCGTGGATGCCCAGAATTACATGGCTCGGCATGACATCAGGCTCGTTTCTATCCCCCTGTTCGAAGAGGGGATAGAGGAGAGCGAAGGCTTTTCGTTTCGTGAGCTCGTAGAATATCGGCCCATGTACAGTGCCAAGGCGGAGAGGGCTGGGTGATGCAACAGATGTTTCTGACGATGCTGCACGTAGAGTTTGTATCGCTGTCTTCATGGGCCATATCATCTACGATGCCATTGCTAGCGAGATGACATGTGAGTTATTAGGCGTAAGTCGTATTGGTGCCCTTCATTGAGCTTTCAATGCCCGCAACTCAAGGGTAGGTGAAAATATGATCCAGACAACAGTTGCTGTTTAGAACACCAACCCGTAACCTTAGCTAACATTCACCAGAAAGAAGTAGTTCTATGACTTTGCCATCTAAGAAACGATCAAACCCTTTTCTTGGGACTCGAGATGTCTAGAGACATCAGCTCAAGTCTCATCTAGCGAGGAGGTTGCGTCGCTTCGGCTAACAGGCTTTGGCAAGCTCACTTGGGATGATGCAAGGTTTTTGAGAGGAAGTCATGGCAACTGTTGGTCTCAGAGTGGGATTATACGAGAAAATGGAGTTCAAGTGCCGGAACATTACCGCATTTCTCATTCATAATCAGCGTTACCAGCTGGGATATCCGACGTCTGAAGAGGAAGAAAATGGCATCTTAGAGAGAAGGGTAAGTGATGCACTGGACGTGTGATCCCGGTGCGATTGGACATAGGCTGGACGGAAGACGAGCTGGTTATCACTTGTCTAGCGAACAGGCGAATGCCTATGTCTCGTCCTTGCGACAACTCCTTTGCGAGGATTTTCTTTTTTAAATACACCTGCGTTGCCACCTTCTAGGGCACTTTCTGATGCTTAGAGCTGGACAATAGCATCAGTCTGTTTCGCTGCACCGCTTCTTATCCCCTGCCTCAGAAATGAGCACTGAAGCCATCACTATCAAGCCGATAAGTGGCGGTAAGAAGCATGTGGCTGCAATGGGTCGGTTAAGGTGACAGTAGGATGACACCAAGTGGTGAGGCGGCCTGGCTGAGTGTGCTGGTAAGATGGCATTGCTTGTCTGTTTCATACGCCTGCATCCAAAGAATTCGACGCGTGTTTTTTAACGGTACAATCTCTTCATGATATATCAACACCTTATTGAGGGGGCCTCGTGACCGTTCTGCGTGTTCATGGCTTAATGAGGTAATAGTAAACAGCTTCATCCAACTTGGATTCATCCCACCACCGTATTAACGGCTTCCTACGTCCTTCTTTCCACCGGTTTTTCTCTCTGTAATTTCTTATATCATGATACTTGCTCAACAAGCTGCTTATGGTGACTGATCAGAGGTATTCTTTCCCTCATCAATCCATCCATCCATTTCTGCGTGTTTAGATTCCCCTCTGTCAAGTCTACCTTTACTAACTATTTAAATATTCTGTCAACATACCCACACGTTTGGATCCCATGTACAAGAATACAGACACGTACTGTTTCTTTTAAACAGTACCTTAATTTAACGAACCGGACACTTTGTTTAGAGAAAGACTATATTACCCAATCCTAGATAAATACAAAAATGACTATATCTAGGGCTTATCTAGGGAGAATCTTGCCTTGGCCATCTAGAATCTTCTCGTCTTTGGCCCACAATCTTTCGTCGCTGAAAAACACTTGCAACATTCACTCTCCTCCATATTATGGGTGCATAGTATACTCGTAGCTGATGTTGCCCGAGATAGAGCCCTATGGTCCTCCAGGCGGTTCACCTGGATTTACAAAGTGCCATAACACGCAGCATATTAAATTATCTGCCTTTTACCAATATTTGTGCTAATCCTGTTAGTAAACGTCTTGAAGCTGAATAGAAAGATTGCCATCAAGCTTGCTCACCCCGCCAAAGACTCTGTTGATTTACTAGATTCTCAGAACCGGTGTACTCATCGCTGATCGATTTGCTTCGTAAGGTTCGTAATATGTTTGGCCAATATTACATACACTGATAACAGGTGTGAAGTTTTCATGATGAATGTTGAATAGAGGAGTACCTGAGTCATGCATAAATAGTTTTGGTTTCCTGTTGAAGTTCAAATTAGATATAGTATAGAGAAACCCAAACCCCAGACGGCTAAGTGTGAGGCCACTTCAATCACCAACAATGAAGAACTCCCATAGACAAGTAGCCAGGTTTTAATGCCTTTTGGCAGTCTTCTGCTTGTTAGCTCCAGCTTTCATATGAAACAAGAACATGAAGTACACGATACTAATCATCTTGCTATATATGCATTAACTAACATGCTGAAAGACTAACTGTCGGAGACAACTATGAAGAGTTTAAGCTGCAATTTGATTTATTCTGGCCCAGTAGCAGGGAACAACGTGAAAGTTCACGGATGCTGAGCAGCCCATAGAAGTCTTGGAGAAGACAGTGGAAGAGCTTTGTCAAAGACTACCCGAAGAACTCGTCTGGTCCATGGATGACGCCCAGAGAGTAGTACATCTGAATTTATCATTCCATGAAAGAGACTGCCGCAAGTTTCAAAACTGTATGAAATACTCAGTTATGAAGGGATAAGTTGCTTGATCGGACTGATAATCTCTTCAAAGATACGCGGGGTAATCCATAAGCTTGAATGTCCTTGGGAATGTATTTGGCAATTTAGCCATTTTATAATGACATTTACCTTGGTTGAGATGAAGTAGACGGAAGATTTCAGATGAAAGCTATTAGACAACTATAATTTCAAATTCTAGGAGAGTACCATTCGCATCCCCAGGATCCCCTAAAATCTGACCCCGTGCACCTTGATGGCCATGCACCTTGATAGACACCCCTCAGCTCCCTCAAAATTCCACCATTTATATGAGGCCTTTTTGTAAAGTTGAGTATGTATTATAGAGAATGTGGTAGATAAGGTGGTTGTTGTTTCCATCAAGGTTCACCACCATCCAAGGAGCTGAGTGGTATAAGCCTCTGACTTCGCAGTCGCATCACCAAACCCCGGCTCATTTCCACGAGTAATAGCACTTGATGGTGGAACAGAAGCGGAGAAGACTGGCTGTTGATTATGGAAACTGGGGAAATCACGCAGATATATGAGCGAGCGTCAAGTATATAATGATGAACGCATTCCCTTGAGATGCGAGAAAAAATCTTCATCATTCCTGGCCTCAGCAACCTACTCCACAAGATCCGCTTTCTTCACAGATATTTTCTCAAGTTTTTTCCTTCTGCAGCACGATGAGCCAGTAAGGACAGATGAAGAAGAGTATCATATGTTTTGGTCATATTTCTATGCGAACTTGGACGCTGAACTGTCATTTTCCTTCAACATGAGCACGCAAAATGTAAACCAGACAGCGCGGACAGCATGGACATCATGAGCACCGAGCGTATTGCACTGCCTTCACTCCGTCATTTCTGCATCATGCGACTAAAATTCTTTATGTCGTCCTCTCAGCAACAAGCCTATCACGATGGAGGGCTGATGGTCCCCCCCTGTGGCGCCAAATCAGGTCTTGAGACACGGCATCTTGTGCTCCTGCGCTGGCCTACTTCTATTCGCAGGCACAAATCTGTCCAACACTTTGCCGACAGCTGTTCAATCCTGTCTACGTCTAACCTCAGAGTGAAGAAGCTTCCGTTTGAATCTCTCGGTCTTGATTCCCCCAACATCCGAGACCCGGGTCATGTCGGGTGAGGCGATTTGTACAACCATGTAGCACTCCGTGGCCGCATGACTGTTCAGCCGGGAGCCACCCCGGAAGCAGGCCCCTTTTCCAGTATCTTAGTCTCCCTGCGATCCTTTCTTGTCGCTTGTGGCTGCTGACATCCGATAATCACCGGCCAGCGCGTGGGGGAGAGGCAACCCATCATCTCCACGCCTTGCTCTGTCACATTTTCATTTTTTTCCCGCCATGGCCGCTGAAAATGCAGTATTCTGCCTAGCCAAGACTAGGTATTCAACTATTTTCGCCACATGCCACGGCTTCATGCGTGCTTTTACGACAGCAGAGTTCAGAGGTATGCCTGTGATCCCAACGCCGGGATCAATATGTGCCTTTTACTACACGTAGCTACCACAACGCATGATGATTCTTCACACATGTCACGTATTGATAGGGAGATGCTGCATCCATCATCAGCAGATTCTTCATAGGTACGTTGGTAACACAGTGTTATCTTCTTCCTTCTCGGGAGGGCGTTCGTCCTCGTGATAGTACAGTGACTACCATAAGGCCAAAGCTTTCCTCAGCCGCATATTTCCCTCACCATTTTATGCCCCCAAGTGACAATTTTCTCCACAATTTGTAGCAAGGAAGCTATAGTCGGGCACCATTTCAAACGCACTGATTTTTCTTCAGGCTGCTTTTCGATTGTCTCCGTCAGTTACTGTACCTGCGTATGATATCCATGTCCATGTACTACGCATTATCCTTGAGGTGATATCCTATGTTAGTATTTGAAGCCAAGTTTTGTTGAAAGAAAGAGCCAAAGAGATGTAATTTTCAGCACGAAATGGGAGCAAGTATTCATTATTTGCCTGCGGCCACCATCACCGGCGCCAGCATTACATCCCTGACTTAGCAGCCATACATATTGCTCCATCATCGACACCCATCCACACCAGCCGTTACAGTATATGTTTTATAGTATAGCGTGGGAGTACCCCTGCGGTTACTTTTCGTGGGACATGTGTTCAACGCCCGGTGATGACTTCTCATTCTGGCCTCGGGTAACCTCCATTCCACCCCCAGCCAATGAAGCTGACGCATGACTGTGAAGCATTATTAACGGTATTTCAGCTAGACAAGTTAAAGAGGGGTATTGACGAATGTCAGTCGAGAACTCATGATGATTGTTGGCCGTTTTTGAAGGATCTACTCCGGCTTGCAGGCGCCAAGATGTCACCGCATAGGGGCTTCGTTAACAAAGCTGTTCAGTGCATGATATGGTGCATGGGGATTCACAAGTGGATACTAACTATATGACAGTTGACGCTCTTTTTATAGAGCATCCGTTTGGATATAAAAGCATCGAGTGTCGCCTGCCTTTTGATCTTGTCTCATCCATCAATCACATCAACCACACTCAAGCAACAAGAACAACCTTTGCCTACCTTCAAAGACCTTCAGTCTCTCAAATCAACCAACACCTTCAAGATGTCTCCCTGGTGAGTCTTCTGAGGACCATTGTTCCAACACTTGCTTGGAATTTCACCTTATTTTGCCTTCAGCGCTCCGCTGCTGGATCTGTGGCACCCATTCCCCATTCCCAAGCAAGGCACTCTTTAGACATGTTACTGACAACTTTCTCTCGATAGCCAGTGCAACTCCTGCGGATGCAAGGACAACTGCTCCAGCTGCTCATGCACCAGCTGCAGCGTAAGTCCTGATTCTCTCCCCTGCTTTAGGCAGAGAAACCTTTCGACCGGAAAGCTAACACATGAGGACATGTAGCACTAAATAACCCGTGTTCTTTTTCCTTCGCCGGAACTATACTCTCTCAGAATGACAGCTTGAGGGCTCGGATGTGCTTAAGACGCCATGGGAAGGGCAAGGCATTTGGGCAAATAGACCTCCATCTTGTGGGATATAGCAGAATAGGAATTTGAAGATTTTGCCCTAACACACATATAATTTGCTTGTGACTCTTGTGCCTTTTGAATGAATTGCATGTGGACCGATGGCCCGTGTTGATATGCCTTTCTATGCAATAATGTCCGACAGATGCATGTCATGCAGCAGTGCAGACAGAAGACGACTGGGCCAGTTGGTGCTCCATGCATAAAGCTGGGTCAGGCATGAAGAGGGAAAATTTTGGGCATTGCTTCTGGCTTGTGAAAGAGACATCAAAAAGAAATAATCATGCCGAGAAGATCACGCAGTTGCGTGTATGGTTTCGTACAAAAGGACGAGCAAAAGTAAACGGCAAAAATAGATGCCCACTATCAGAGTCGAACTGATCACCTTGTCATGTCAAGTATTTACTAGTGACACGCTATACCGCTTAGCCAAGCGGGCGTCGAGCTATTTATAGCAGATGTTTGAGTTTTACAGTATATGAATCTTTTTAATTTGCAAAACCACAACTATTCAATCCAGATTTGATCGAATTTCGCTGCGAGATCATTCATATAAGATAAATGGCTTTAGAGGACCTTGACGCAATGGCGGTCTTCGAAAAGCTGCTATTTAGGCGATAAGCCCGACTCTTTAGTTAATGGTAGAATCGTTTGTGCTGTTACTGTAGTGAAAGAGGAGCGTTCCGCAATAGTTGATCTTGGTGTAAGTAGAATAAACTGAGTATAAGTCTATCTATGGAATATCTATTCACATTATTGATTATATGACTAGAGTCCAAGATACAATAGACAATCTCTTCAGAGTTCAGGGCAATGCGCCATGTTATAATGTTCTGGGTTGAGATGGATGCTATTCCCGACAACCAACCGCAAATTGCCGCTATCCGTTTACAGGATCCCGGTCCGATCAAAATACAGATCGGCTATAGTGAATGTTGTCTCCGAGTATGCTGTACACCAAGGTATTTTGCTATAAGATTCTGGGCACATTCGTACGCGTCAGAAACTCGCACAATAAAGACCAAATGTGTGAAAGAATTGAGCCAATCTGCGCTTTACATCATGCGTGAGCAGGCAGAATACCGACCTGTGTCATCGAATGTTTCATTAAGTTGCGACCCAAGTTATCGGCATTTGCGGGCTAAGCAAATCCCGAGAAGTCAGGGTAAGTGGATTTTGCTTTGTGGGATGGAAACCTTGGCATTTACAATGGAATTGAGTCTCGTGGTAATGTTAATCGGCTATATGTGTACCATATGGTCAAGTGATGACGCAAATGCCGGTAAAAATACTAAAACAGGTTAGGGTACGGAGTATTACAAGATGAAGATGAAAACTGTTCGCAGGTAAGGGGGAATCGGCATTTCCCCTGTTTTAGTGCACCAGGTACGGGAGATTGCTTCAATCAAGATTGATGTGATCTCTGCTTGCGGTGGGTGAGATGCTGCACAATCGTTCGGTACGTCCCTAACAATGTCATTGGCCATCAACAAGTCAGAGCAAGCTCTCGTGTGCCTCTTTGAACACGAAGTGTGTGGGGTTGTACGATAAGCATAAATACCATCATTCGGAACCCGGAATGTAGTCAATGGCTTGCCTCAGATGGCGACCGATGCTACATGAAACACATATTCGTTGTCCATCTTCCTGTCTCGTGTATGTTAAACCGCAAGTCTGACGCCTTCCCTGCCTAATAAAGGCATCACTCGACTTTGAAGATCTGCCAAATGCATGACAATATATAGTCTGGTTCTAGAGATCCTCATATATCGGTTCTTCACGGCAATCAAAACATCGCAGTAAGGGTGGGAATAGTTTCTGTTGGTTGGAGTGAGCAGACCTACTATTATTTATAAAACTATGTATGGGAGATATTCCGTGGGATATAGTCACACTCGTTGATTGCATGCCCATGTAAACGCCAGTTCAAGTCGGGAAGTTCGAAAACCCATATTGAAAACCGATATGAATGACCTACCTTCCTTTTTCCCTACGGAAAGTTACGGCGGAGGTTCGGCATGAGACGACGTCCCAGGGCGTATTGTGGCATCATTCTGGATCTTGAGGCAAGCCGAAATCAACGATAATTTAGAAAGCTCGGTAATTGCTTCCTCTTTCCATTCCCGATTTTATGCCCGAAATTAAATGCGAATAGTTGGTACTATTCTGCAGGCAACTAAATAGAAGCCCATCTCAGGAAAATGCTTCCGACGGCTCTCTCATAACAACAGCTGCTTTTCGCTTTGCCCAGCAGCTTTGCCCAGAGAATTGTAAAATGCCGGCATAGTGGAAGGCCGGTGTTGGAATGGCGGGGATTGGTAATATTTCCTCCAACCATTATCGGCGGTTCCTCCATTTGCAATGCGACATCAGCATGTTTAGCGTGAAATGCCCGGGAATTCTTCCTCGTATGAAAGCGATTGTTTGTGAAGCTACACACTATGTCTGGGGCTATTGCGGAGCCGATTTTGCCGATATAGACACAGCTAGTGCGCGGAATAGGTGAATGGTGATAGGCTCAATTTGGCAAAACAGTCTTTGTAATGAACACAAATATGCCCGACGGGCAATTTACCATCCTGAATGGGAGATCTGGAGGATCTGAGCCTCAGGAATCATGAGCCGAGGGCGAGATATGTTGATTGGACGAGCGTCCTTCCACATACCGAATCTGTACAAGACTAACCTGGGGGTGGATTCTATAGCGGCCGCCTTTCCCGTCTTGTGGCTATTGGTACTTTGTGCTTGAAGTTCTGAACTGATTAAACGCCCATCGAGGGCGATGTCAGGGATTCCCCGCGTCGAAACTCCATTATGAAAGTCAGGTTCCGGCAGTTTTGTGGAGTTTAGTCCGGGGAGAGATGTTCGGAGTGATATTCACAATCGTCAAATTTCCCTTTCAGCGGTTAACTGTTTGAACGTGATGTGTTCCGCGTGATAACCGACGGGCTTATAGCCTCATGACCTGGAGTATAAATACAGAAGAGGATGTAACGCAAGAATCACCAACTTGTCTGGAGAGAGCAGCTCTTTCTTGAGTCTTCATAGCAGCTCAGCTTGTTCCTCGGCAAAGGGACAAGTTCTTCACAATGGGCCTCCCTCGAGCTTTGATGACGGCACTCGCCTATGGGTCAATCGCTCATGCTGCCTACGATGTCTTTGACTATGTAGATCCTCTGATTGGAACCAGCAATGGAGGTAATTATCTCTGCAGGACTGAACGAGATTCATGTGCAATGAGATGAGCAGAATTAACAATGCACATAGGGCACGTCTTTGCCGGCGCAACTCTTCCATTCGGCCTTGCCAAGGCGGTGGCTGACTCTGTGAATGACAACGCTGGTGGTTATGCCTCAGATGGCGGTCCCAGTCAGTTCATCCTCCCAGATTGCAATTTATAGCATCTCTGGAATATTATGACTGACAATGACACTCTAGTCACTGGCTTCTCTCACATGCATGACAGCGGAACGGGTGGTGTAAGCGATTTCCCCCATGGAGAATGAGAGAGATACAGACACTGACACTTCCAAGGGAGCTTCTCTTGGAAACTTTCCATTGTTCCCTCAGAGCGGCTGCTCTGGTGGAAACCTTGACAATTGCTACTTCACCAAATCAGACCGTCAGTCTCTGCCGATCAACAGCTCCATTGAGGCGCATCCTGGATACTTTTCGGTTACTCTCAATACTTCCATCAAGGCAGAAATGACCGTATCGAACAAGACGGCGTTGTACAGATTCACCTTTCCTGATCAGCCTGTGCCTATGAAGGGTGGCGACGCAACTGGGGATAACGCGATCCCATATGAGCCTGTAATCCTGGCCGACTTGACGGATCTCTCCGATTCCCGGAGCAAGGGAGGCGTTTCTGTTGACCCTCACAGCGGAAGAATTACCGGTTCAGGCACATTTAACCCGTCTTTCGGGGTTGGCACGTACACTCTGTACTTCTGTACCGATTTCCAAGGAGCTAGTATCAAGAACACCGGCGTCTTCCAGAACAACCGAGCCGGCACCAACTTCAAGCAACTCAACACCGAAACTGCCACCGTTACCGGTCCTCCCGTACCTGGTGGCGCATTCGTCCAGTTCAACAAGCCCAGCAATAACCAGATCATTGCCAGAGTTGGCTTGTCGTTTATTAGTGTGAACCAGGCATGCAGCAATGCCCAGTCTGAGATCCCTAGGTTTGACTTCCAGGGAACTCAGGCGACTGCTGAGGATGCATGGCGACAGAAGCTGGGAGTTGTACAGGTCGACACCACGGGAGTGTCCACAGACATCCTGACCACGTTCTACTCGGGACTGTATCGCTCCATGATCTCACCTCAGGACTATACGGGAGAGAACCCCCTGTGGAAGAGCAGTGAACCTTGTAAGTTTTACGCTTAAGATCATTTCTCTCAAAGAACTTTTCATGGAATCATTTGAAGCTGACTGGGACAGACTATGACTCTTTCTACTGCATCTGGGATTCATTCCGCAGCATCCACCCGCTGCTTACTATTGTCGACCCGTATAGCCAAACGCAGATGGTTCGCGCACTCATTGACATTTACCGCCACGAAGGAAAGCTTCCGGATTGCCGCATGACATTCTGCAAGGGCTGGACACAAGGTGGTAGCAATGCTGACATCGTGCTTGTGGACGCATACTTGAAAGGCCTTCACAAGGGTGTTGATTGGCAGACCGGATATGAAGCCTTGATCTCGGATGCTGAAGGTATGGTTCACAGTTGTCGCCTATCCATTACATCTACAAGTATGATGCTGACATTTTGCTAGATGAGCCGGTAAACTGGGGTATTGAGGGACGTGGTGGATTGACCAGCTGGAAGACGCTTGGTTACATTCCCACTGACGACTTTGATCCCAACGGTAAGATTTTCCCAATATTGTAGTATCCACGTTCGTATAGAGTGCTCACAAGGAACTAGGTGTTGGTACATTTTCGCGATCCATCTCTCGAACAGTCGAATATGCCTACAACGACTTTTGCATCGCCGAGATGGCCGAGTCTCTGAACAAGAAGGCCGATGCTGAGAAGTATCTCAAGCGCTCCAAGAACTGGAAGAACATGTGGAACCCGAACCAAAACTCGTACATCTACATCACCAATCCTGACGGTTCTACCGGCTACGTCGACAGCGGCTTTTACGGCTTCTTACAGCCCAGATATCTGAACGGCACGTTTGGCTATCAGGACGCTATGATGTGCACTCCCATGTTCCGATTTGACGATTGTTATTTGGTGCCTACTGGCCACGAGGTAAGACTTCTACTACACTCCTTCCTTAATGATGCATAAGAAGATTTCGAGACTTTATTTTCTTCCTTGTTGCTTACCAAATGTTTCTATCACAGACCTACGAGGGCAGCAGCTGGCTCTACACTTTCTTCGCCCCCCACGACATGGCCGACCTCATCACCACTCTTGGTGGCCCAGACACTTTCGTCAAGCGTCTCCAGTTCCTCCACAACACTCCCAACTTGCTCTACTTTGGTGACGAACAAGCCTTCCTTCTTGTCTTCCTGTTCCACTATGCTGGTCGCCCAGGCTTGTCTTCGTACTTTGCCCACCACTACATCCCCTCGCAGTTCAACTCCGGTGTTAACGGTATCCCCGGTAATGACGATTCTGGAGCTATGGGTGCCTTTAGCACTCTGACAATGATGGGCTTGTGGCCAATGGGCGGACAGAACGTCTATCTCATCCTGCCACCGTTCTTCCCTGAGATCAGCATCAAGAATGGACTGACGGGCAAGACGGCAACGGTGAAGAACATCAACTTTGATGGAGGTTACGAGAACATTTATATCCAAAGTGCCAAGCTCAACGGGAAGCCGTATACAAAGAACTGGATTACGCACGACTTCTTCGCTAATGGAGGCGTGCTGGAGCTGACGCTGGGCAAGAATGAGAGCAGCTGGGGAACAGGCTCTGCCAGTCTGCCACCCAGCTTGGAGCTAGACATCTAGACTTAGAGAATGAGCAAATTTTAGTTTCCATAACTACGTTGGTAGAATGAAAGAAATTTCACAATCTTGTGCACATGCGATATTAAGTATCATTGTTTTTTCTCCAATTCGTTCATCAAACATGATGAGCGTCTTTCTTGTCTGTATTAAAATTCTAAGCTAGAGTCGAGTATCATTGGTATAATAATTTTAACATGAAGCATCTTCACAACCTCCTACTCAATCACAATATTCTGCCCTAAGCTTCTCATAGGCAATCTCCCCACCAGCCCTTGAAGCCCACCAGAAGCTCTCATCACATCTTTTGCATCTTCAGCAAAAGCCATCCTCACTCTCCCCACGCGTTCCCATGTCCCTCTCCCAGTCTTTTCTACTACCAATAGCATCACCATAGTCTCTTCAACAAACCACAATACACTCATTTGCTCTCCTTGTCCATGTCGCATCAGATAGCTTTTGAGGCTTCCTATGCACTCTTCGCCTCCAAGACAAGCGGTTTCTGTGCCACTTCCGCGGCTCATTCGTACGTCGACACTGAGGCCGCTGAATTGCCAGCCGTCAGAATGTGGCTTCGCCTTGACCTTGTCCAGCACCAACGGATCCTTGACGTGGAGGGCATATTTTCCAGGTCGGAATCGTGGTGGACCGGCGGCAGAGCTCATCTGTACTCCAAAGTCGTATATCACGGAGCCATCAGGTGCTAATACTGCCATCTCAGGCGAGTATGTCCACTTCACAGATGATGGTTCATTCCTCGTCAGTCGTGCGGCCGCAACATAATGATGGGTAAGTATCTTTTTGCCCTTCAACTTCATCTCGGGATCGGGCGAAGCGAGGGTGATAGACGAGAAGAGCTCCACGGGACCAGACCACCCTGCCCACGACCAGCTCGGCAAATGATTCCTTTGCTTGGCCTGTGTGCCAACTTTGTGGTGCCAGAAGCATGTCGATAAGGCGAAAAGATGTCTCGTTCTCGGCATTCCGTTGTTTTCTTCTGTCGGTTCAGAGGCCAGAGGTGCCCATATGGGGATTCCCACCAAATTGCTCAGCTTCCCCCTTCCAAGGGTGCTCTCCAGATCTCGCCATACTCCTAAGCTCGCATCCAGCGAATCTTCGTCCCGACTCAGGTTCCTCCTTGTATATTTCACAATATGCTGATCAACTTCTCGGAACACACTCAGCGTGCTCGCCTCGCCCATCTTTTGAGGCAGCTTCTTCCACTGTTCCCAGCTGCCATCCATGTATGACACCCCGTTAAACAAGCCCGGACGCACGAAATCGTACATACGCTTCTCTTCGGCGTCGTGATAGAATTCAAACGGCAAATCCAGTGCCTCGGGGCAGGTCATGCCGTCGCACTCCCAGTACATCTGCTGTTCTGTGAAGACGAGGCGTCGTCGAGAAAGAAGTCCTTCCTGATAGGTCCATCCTCTAGTGTACCACGCTGAGCGCTCGATGAGAAGGCGTGGATCCTGGAGGCTGGAAACAAGAGTTATGTTAGAAGTGGTGAATTTGTACTTTGGCTGAGCAGGTCTTGATGTTGATCCAACGCCGGGAAGGCCATGCATGGCATTCTCGCCAGCGGCGGCAATGATGGTAAAGGCGGCTCCTCCGTATATCTCGTCCATCCGCTGAACATGTTCCCTTTTCTCCTGCGGTCTATCATCACTCGTACAGAAGCGATCCACCCAGAGATATCGAAAGCCAAGCTCAGTCACCACAGAAGCTGCATCTCGTACAACTTGTGGCCAGCTGCCATCAACATTTGCGTCGCCCCAGACATAGCTCAGTGCCACATAGTCATCACGCAGTGACCTTTCAACCACCTGTGGGCGTGATTGGGAACAGTCTATGAGCCGGAATCCCTGAATTTCCTTCCTAACCGGCCTCCGTGAGCATCGTCCCTCGTGATGAGTGTCGCAAAAATGAAGCCACTCTCGCACAATGTTCAAGTCTGCGCTTTTGTCAATCTCCCGCCCCCAGATTCCTCTCTGCGTCCAAGAGGCATCGTCAGGTAGGCGGAATGATGGTGACGGCAGCGGAGATGCCGTTCCATCAGGGACTGTCAGCTGTCTCTCGGCACCCGTCCTCCCCCTAGCCATGTCCACCAGCATCTCGGGCCGTGTCCGGAGCAGCATGCCCGATTCTCGGAACCATTCGGGGTCCACATCGGGATCCTGGCCGCCGCCCTTCGTCTTGGAGATGACGGAGAAAAACGCTGGGCTGAGGCCCTTGGCTCGGCCCTTGGCCGGATGGTCCTGATTGTGCATCTTCGCTGAGTCAATGAAGTAACTCGTGTCGCGTGTCGATAGTGCTACCAGATTATACTCTCCAGGTTCCTTACTGGGCACATGAATCTCCCAAAAGAGCTTGCACATGGGACAAGTCGCGGCCCAGCGGTTCTCCTCCAGGTACCGAAGCCGAGATACAAAATGTTCTCTTGTCTCGAAATCTCCTGCAGCTCCTGCGCCATCTGCCGGCCTGGCGAAAGTGGCGTCGACTTCGTCCATGGTTTCTTCAATCTCCGCCGCCAGACGTGCACATGATTCACAAAGAGCCGGATCTCGATTTACACCCAGCGACGACGGAGGCCGTGAGTTGGGTCGCGAACCCGAGGCGGCGTCAGAATGAGCCGACGGACTACGGCTCTTTTGCCCGCTCAAACGGCGAATGAGCGATGAGCGCCGTGACCCGGATTCGCTGGCTCCAGGCGATGAGTCGACGGTCAGATGCTGGATCATGTTTCGCAGGGGGTTCTTTGACCGGCGACGCCCCGGCGAGGGCTGGTCAGCAGCGCCGGCAGATGCTCCGGGGTCCAGGTGGTCAGCCATGATGCATTTCCGGGGCTCCGCGTTCTCGTATGGAGTGCTTGGTGTTGTGAGATTTGACGTCTGCGATCAGTATCGTCGTGATGTTCACGCTGCGTCAAAAGGGGGAGAGGGACGCATGTGTGTTTTATGTTTATCTGCTGCGTTGTTTGACGGCCTGGCGCCAAACCGCCTGACCCCAGGCGGCTGGAGATTTGAATGACTTGAAAGGAGCGAATGAGTTGAATGGCTTCAAGCAGGCCGGCAGGGGAAGAAAAGGGTCCGTAAATCTAGCGAGGGGTTTCAGACCGTCTAAAGTGGTGGGTTCCAGGTTTTTAATGAGGCGGTAATACAGAGTTTACGCTCCCGTTTCGCGAACCAGGAAGCTTTAGAGCAGCTGAAGGACGGACTGCTGCCCATGTGATGAGAAGAGTTAATTATGAGGGGCTGGCTGATGAAGTACCAAGAGGAGTGTGAAATGTATTAGATGCATGTGGCCTATATATATGCTACATGTATCGTCCTCTGCTAGGGAGGTAGTACCGCCTCATAATATTTTGAGAAACTCTGAGCCAAACAAACAAACCTAAACCATCAATGCACACACACATGCTTGTACACAATGTAGGTAGCTTCTCATCGACACTGTGCCACTGTGCCACTAACAATCGCAGCAAAGAAAAAAAAAAAGAGAAAGAAAAAAACCCACAACCCCCCCTCTCTTGCAGGTGGAGTTTGCCTCATTTACTCTATTAATAACCGCAATCTTGCTGAGCCGCCCAGCGAAATCACATATTGATCCCATAGCCATTGAGGCGCAGACCCTTCAAAAAAGAGCTGACCAAAAGTAACCCTGGCAAGCCGCATTTCCCTGGCCAGATTGGGTGGAGAAAAGGAGGCAAGCCGCTGAGATTGCAGATGATTTACGCCGTGATGGATCCCCCCCTCATGCCTCATGCATCAATGCACAGCTCCAATGCAAGATTCTGTGAATGGCAGAAGCTAGTCCGGGCTTCGGCTTTTCACCCAGCAAACGCCGTCTAGCGGTCCATCGTGTCGTATCTTGATCTCTGTGATTGGCGCCGGCTACCGACCCTGACGGCACGCGACCAGACAGCCATGCAATAGCGAGCTACTAGCATTTCTCAGGCGGCTGGCACATGTTTGAAACAGGGAATCGGCCATGAAAGTGGCCCTAGACTCGGCTGTCGTGAGATTCCGACAGTTGTGCTCACCGTCTGTGAGTCGGACTCTGATCCTCCTGGTCGGGCCATCCCTTGATCAACCCCATTCCACACATGGCATGCTCACGGCACTAAAATATTCAGCTCCTGTCCATGTTGCGATCCAGTCCTCACCGCTTGAGTGCTTCTCTTTCTTTCTCTCTCAGCCTCGTTACCGCGGCCGCTACCTCAAGCTCCGCTCCGCTCGTCTCAGCTCAGCTCACGATACCTAGGCACAGAGACGAAACTACGGAGTAGGTGCATGCAGAAGGGATACGGCAAGATCCGCAGCACGTTTGTGACCCAAAAAAGCCCGAGCCCAGTAAATCCATCCTTGATTCTTTGTCTTTGCATGCAGCTACTTGATCCATACTCCATACTTGGGATAGAATATGCATGGATCGTTCTATTGATGATCTAGAAATCCTTCACGAAAATAGAACTCAAATACTAAGCCACCTTTTTTTGCTTGAGCTACACAATGACGACCCATCTTACTTACTTATACTAACAGCTGGATGCCCGCTTCTCTCCACTCATCCCAAGGACGCACTGACATGTATTGCTCCGTAAAGCCGGACCACGACTTTTGCGATCGTGTTCACAAGACCGGAGGCGGAGCGCAAGTGTCAGCTCACACAATATATTGAAGACAGGGCATATTTCGTACGAAGCACATGGGCTTGTACCAGGCCTTACATGTATAGTGATCCTAAGGCGAAGCAACAGCAAGATCCATACTAACCCAGGCTATGCAGATATTCTTAAGAGGCTAATTATGGCGAGATGCCATTTTTAGGTCGCTCAAGTCAAGGGCGCCACGATAGCCATGTCCTTGCGTGGAGGCATATGCCGGATTCTGATGCCCAAGCAGCGAGGCATTACTCTGTACTTACAATATAAAAAAGGCTTGCCATGAATTGTTTTGCCCTCCATACACCCAGTTCACGCTTTTGAGTACAATTAGAAATAGTATATTTACTTTGGCCCATCTCATCTCCATATTCCAGGCTCATATTCGATAGACAGATGGCAATTTTTGCTTATTGCAGGGTAGACCAAATGGACGAGAACATGAGCCATTGATCAAATGCTTTTCACACAAGAGCACCCGATTTATGGGAGAAGAATAGAATCCAAGAATGAAAGAATATTTGTTCGTGAAACTGGCTTATAAGACCTAGCTTACAACTTTGACTATGCAATCCGATGTTGATCGCATGTTACGTGGAAGGAATACCGTAAAGTGATATTATTATCTTTACACTGTGTAGAATTTTGCACGAACACTTATCAACAGCGTTGAAACCTTTTATTTTCTTCAATATAGAAACACTTAATATTTGCTATAACTAGACATGTGGTAATTGCTGCATTAATAGAGGCTATGAGTGACTATGTAGCCATTTTGTTTTAAATGCCAACGCAGCTTTGTCAATTGTCAATGTCCGACTTCCTAGGAAGTCGCTCTGCTTCAATACTTGTCAGCATTTACACAGGTACTAGTTATATAAAGCAAACACATATTCTCATAGATGAAGTCAATTTGTTAAAAAATGTTCACTATTCTTGATCAGATCTACGGGTGCTTAATCCACGGCTGTTCCATGCTACCCCGTGATGGCACAACGGGTAATACTTTGCAATGGATACGCTGAAGTCCTCCACAGGTGTCTGGTGATCGTGTGGCCAAGAAATACACAATCAGAATGTTTCCCATGAACTAAGACGGCGGCCCCTCAGGCATTTTCAGATGCGCAGTCCAAAATGCCTTGACTTTCCCATCCTCAAATAGAATATAATGGCAAGCCTTGATCATGTCGGGCTGCTCGCGCGGTCCCAACTTCCAGTGCACAATGCCTAGGTTTTGGGTGACGGCGATGTACCCTTCGTCGTCGTGCGTAATGTAAAATCCGGGGAATTGATCCTGTTCCTTTTGAATAGTCGCATTTACATTATCCCTGCCGCGAATGATGGCATGTTCGCCGGAATATTCGCCGGGTTGGAACCAAGTGACATCTTCGTGATAGAGCGGCTCCATTGTCTTGCCGCGGGCTGCAGCATCGGATTCCCCAAACACCTTTTCGATATGTGTGTTCATCACCTTGCGCATCCTCTCGGGGTCTTCATGCGGCGAGGCCGAGATCGATATAGTAGGTTGTTGCTGGGACGCCATTGTGAGCCAGGTGTGTGTCGTTATAAAAAAGAAAAGTAAGTATCAGCTGGGCCTCAGTAGATAGATTAACAAAGTAGGTAGCATCTATGGTATTTATAAGTTTAATGCCATCTTTGCCTTTGGAATCATCGGATCTTAGTGCTGACTGACGTGGGGTTGGATGCCACTTAACATCTGATTTGCCTTTCTTTCTATCTAAACGAGCCATCGAGACATGTAGCCGTCTCTTGTCATGCATTACTAAGGGAGTTGATCTTGGCGTATAGATTTGGAAGATATTCGAATTGGGCTAGGGCTTTAGATGACTAGACCACACGTCCAACTGGCATTGTCACTTCACAACCATGGGCTGCTATTGATGTGCTTATCTGCTGATAGAAAAATGGCTTAAATAATGCTTGATAAGAATCATTACTTCCACACCATAGATTTTATGCATCTGGGGATATAGGTAGTTACGCGGCAAGGTACTCATTCTTCGTAGCAGTTGAATGTTCTTGTTGCGCCCCTCACTGCCCGATGACGATTTCGGGGCTGGCTGGTGGCTTTCGGCCGAAACTAGACTCAACTCTTGTATGCATTCACTGTAAGAGATTTCGCGGGAATCGTAACTTCGGAGCACTGTGCCTGCGGCCGAAATCATTTGACTCTTCCGATAAAGTTTCGGACTTAGCTATGTCATGATCGGGTTAATATGTAGGATCTCTTGAGTATAAAAACGGTGCTTAAGGCACGTCATGTCGGCTCTCAAAATAGACAACTCTGAATTATCATTCAATCGTCAAACCCAGTCTCAATGTCTCAAACAATCAAGACGGTCAGTATTCCCAACATTGCTTGGGAGACTGCTGCCGATATCCATTTTCCGCCCAATTTTGACAACAACAAAAAGTATCCAGCAGTCGTGAGCGCTCACCCCATCGGTTCATGCAAGGAGCAAACTTCGGGCAACATCTACGGGAAAGCATTGGCAGAAGCAGGCTTTGTAATTGTCGCTTTTGACGCGTCCTTCCAAGGTGCCTCTGGCGGTGAGCCTCGCTTTATTGAGGACCCAGAGTTCCGTGTCTCCGACTTCCGCTTCGTTGTCGACTACATCCAGACGCTTGGTTATGTCGACACTGATCGAATTGGAGTTCTTGGCATCTGCGGCGGAGGCGGTTATGCCATTAACGCAGCCATGACGGATTATCGGTTTAAATGCTGCATTGGCATCACGCCTGTCAACTTTGGTCGTCTCTCCCGCGAGGCGTTTGGCAATTACGACCCGGCTGATGCTCTCGAAAAGATAGCTAAACAGCGTACTATTGAAGCCCAAGGTGGTGAACGCCTTGTTATCAACTTGCTGCCACCAACAGTCGAAGAAGCGAAAAAGATTACCACCGATATTGACGTCTGTGAAGCTACTGAATACTACAAAACTGACCGCGGCCAAGCACCCAATGGTTGTACCAGTGGCTTATATTCGTTCAATAGCGCCGCTATTGCATGGGACGCCTTCAACCATGCGGAGGTACTTATGACCCGGCCTCTCATGGTCGTGACTGGCGAGAAACCTGGTGGTTTCGGGGCATACCGTGATGCCCAAGAGATTTACGGCCGGGCAGGATCCAAGGAAAAGAGAATAGTAGTATTGCCAGGGATTTCGCACTACATGCTATACGACAAACCTGAGGCTGTCGATCCCGCTCTGGAGCAAATCATTCCATTCCTTAAGAAGCACCTGATCGAAGCAAATTGGGTCCAGCAGTATCGTGGCGCCCCGCGGAATAGTAAACCAGACGAAATCTCCAAATAAGAGCGTGTATTAGTTCGCAGCATCTGCTGATTTTTCTCATTACCAAAATGAATTCGCCTAAACATATCTACTGATTAAATAATACTACATATCAAAATTTAAAGCAGCACCGGTCTCTCTATCTGCTCGAGGTCTTGCGTGATCCACTACTTGCAGCGATTAGGATTGGTTCATTCTGATCACCCCCTTCTCTCCAGTTAAGCCGTATTTGCGGCGCCTGAGTTATTACAATCGGTAATTTCTATCTCCTTGCTGGAGTGGACTCAAGCACGGTGGCAGAGCTCACACAGGGGCTTCCAATGATTTTTACAGAGGGCCTAGAAAATTGACTGCCCGGATACTTCTGAATGCATTACCGACGATTTTAGTGATTTTCGGTGAAGTAAACGCCGCTTCTGAGACACGCCATGAAGACGGGAAACTTTGATCAGTGTTCAACAGACAGAAGGAAAAACGCATTTCCCCTCCATATACTAATTACCAACTGCTGCAACAGACAATTGTATGATGGAAATATGATAGGTTCAATGTCCATGCTCTTGTGCTCGCAACTCTTTCACTAAGAGCTGTCATGGAACAAACAAGTTCGCCCTGTGCTAACTCCGGGCCTTTTCACCCGTAGATTACCCCTCCATCCCTCCCGCAAGTCATTTCCTCAACCATCATTTTCGCGTTCGATTTCTTTTTGTATTCTTTCTATTGGTCAATTTCTTTCAGAAAACTAATAGCATCTTCAATCTTCCGTCTTCCATTTTTTCTCATTCTTCTTCCTTCGGTGCAGAACAATGAAGAGTCCAACCAGCGGCGATCAGCAGTCATTGAAGCGGAAGCGATTAGTGACTTCCTGCTCAGAGTGCTATCGCCGAAAACAAAGGGTTCCAATTACCTTCCCCCTTGGCGTTCGAGGATCTTCAGTTTGTCTAATATTGTTTTAGTGTAACCGGAAGAAGCCGTGTAACAATTGTCTGGCGCGCAATATACCCAATAAGTGCATGTTCAGTGCTCCGCCACCGTAAGTCACCCTCATCTGCTCAGTTTTTCTGAGCCCCCGAGGTGGTCATCGCCAATGTGCACAAACCTTGACTTTCATACATATATTTAGGTCCACACCAACCAGGACACAACGGCTACCAGTTTCAACAGGTTCAACAACTGAGGTCAGCACAGGCTCAGCCCAGTCATTAGAAATTGGCATCGAAAGCACCCCTCAGGACTCTGTCGATCTTGGCTACTCGTTGGTTTCTGGGAACAACTCCTTTGTTGGTTTACAAGAGGTAAATAAAATGCGAATAGCACTTGTCAAGCATTTGCTGATTTATGTGAGATTCTCGGAAATGATGAGTTTCAAGACGTCTCAGTCGCCTACAATAACGCCGTCGAATTTGTTCCATCCAAACGAGATACTGAAAGCTTTGTCGCAAAGCTCCCCCCGAGAAGCGTCACTAAAGCACTGGTTGACTTTTTTTTCGATGAGGTGAACTGGCATTATTTTATCCTTGAGCGATTATACTTCAACGATCTGTTTTCACGCTGGCCACCTAAAGAAATGACAGAACCCGTCAAGTATCTGAAACCAACACAACTTTCGACGGAGCTACGATATTTCCCCTCTCTACTCTTCCAGGTCATCGCATTGTCACTGCAATTCCTACCGCCTGATTGGGATGTTTTACCCAAGGCATCATTAAGGGGACTTGCTACTTCACGGACGTATAGCGATCTAGGCGACGAATTGTTGCATTTTTTGGGACGGCCAGGGTTTGCCATCGCCGCAATCCAGGCGGACTTTCTGAGGTCATCGTGGCTGAAGAATTGTGGGCGGGGTGTTGAATCTTGGCATGCTGTTGGCAATTCTATCAGGTTCGTACGGCCCTTTGAGTTCGATGAAAGAACCTTTGAACATTTGTGACAATTCCTAATAATACTCACAGACAAGCGCAGGAACTTGGACTCCATCGCCAAAGGGATATATACCAGTCAAACGAAACTAATGTGGAGGAAACGCTAAGTATGTTCTGGTACGAACAACATAAGAAGCGCATATGGATCAACCTCTTTGTGTGGGATAGGTACGTCCGCACAGTCTTAATTCTCTACTTGACTTAACTTCATGACCTGACCCTAATAGTTTCATGGCCATGATTCTGGGGCGCCCTCGGATGGTTCACATGGATGACTGTGATGTTGAGCCACCCATGGATTGCAACATACCTGGTGATCCATCCAAAGCTGTGCCAATGACGGTCCGCCCCGAAGACAGCCAGAGTGTCTCAACGGCTTCAGCGCCTCTTTTTCGATACGCCATGGCTTGCAAAGCACACGAAATGCGAGCTCTCAGAGCGGACCGCCCTCGTCTAAAGGATTACTCTATTGTCAGAACACTGCACGAGGAAATAATGTCGTTGGTGGAAGCGTTGCCTGCATTTCTGCGAATTAAGAACCCTGACACCACTCGGGATGCAGACTTTCCATATCTTCCACAACTCCGCCAAGAAGTGCAAGTTATGACGAATTTGTTTCTGATGACATTACACCGGCCGCATATCATTTCTAATCTAGAGAGTCGAAGAGCCGCTTTACAGGCCGCACTTGAAACCCTTGATTGCCAGCAATCTTTCTTTGCGCATGCTAAACAGCATCAATATCAGCTGTTTGGCTTTGCTTTCTACACTGTCGATGCCTCATTTCTAGTCTCCATCATCACGATTCTGTTTCCGCCGCAGAACAATGAGACCACGCAAAGAATCAGCCACAGCCTCCAGCAAGCGATTGAGAGTCTCACTCTTATGCAAACTTCTAATGTGATAGCAGCTTCAGGCTTGGACATTATCCAGCGTTGCTATCAAAAGCTGAAAAGTACTCCCGAGTCATTCAGCAGCATATCTGACACAAGGACGCCCTCATATGGCACCCCGGTGGATGGACTACATAATCTGATAAAGGACCTTGGCCAGCAGGACTTCAACCAACTTGGAGGTCCGCAAAGTAACTTTTCTCAATCGAATATAATATCGGGACTTGCTTCTTCAACTCCTTTCCCTCAGCCAACTCCGGATAACTTCAATCAAACGTATTGGTTGGATCAGTTGAATGTCATTGATCCACTTATCTATGACCAGGATTTCGGCAATCTGTGGGAGAATATTAATTTTGGCTGATCGTATGATTGGCTGTTGGCATGTTTCTTTTTATTTTATCTTTGAGTTTGGAGACTTGATGTCCAGTAGCAACTGCCGCTTTCCTTTCCTCCTGTACATTGGATGTTAGCTCGGATGCTGGAAAACATTGCATACTTCATTTACTTTCAAATTTCATCATCGGCGATGAGCAATATCATCAAAATTCAAATGGTGAATACTTGTAATTTGAGTGCAGGTAGCGCGGGCATCCATCGTAAGCCAATACGGAGCGTCCGTCATGGGAAATCCTCGAACCAGTCTCATCTATCGGAGATATAGTGACAATTGTCAATCATCTGGTCCACCTTATACATACATCTCTATGCAGCGGATTGTTACTCTCAGAAACACAGCTGACAAAATGAACTTATTTAAGTTCGACAAATCGTTCCTATGAGGTTGGAGTTACTGGAGTTAAGAGTTCGGCCGAACGATTTCGGACTTAGTATTGCTCTCATGCCAACTCGTCCCCAGGAGCGTCTATCGGCCGAAGATCTTTCGGCCGAACTGCTCTTAAAGTTCAGCCTTCCTTTAAGCGGTTCAGAGAGATAAAAAGCAGCAGTAGAAACGCAAAATATGAACTGAATACTCATCTGTATCATAATATTTTATCTGAACTGCAATTCAAGATCCTATATCTTTATAGGTAGTGAAACCGATTTACATCATGTCCCAAATTTCGATCCAGAAAGGCCCCATCAGCCTCGCCGGTCTTCTCTTCAAGCCCACTCAGGCGTCCGGGAAGACACCGGGTCTCGTTATTGTCCATCCAGGTGGTGGTGTTAAAGAACAGACAGCGGGAACATATGCGAAAAGGCTTGCTGAAGCTGGTTTCACAACAATTGCCTATGATGCGGCCTTTCAGGGTGCCAGCGGAGGAGAACCCCATTTCCTCGAAGATCCAAATGAGCGTGTGAGCGATGTCTATGCTGTCATCGATTACCTCCAAAATCTTGACTCCGTAGACGCGGACAAGATTGGTGTACTGGGCATCTGCGCTGGAGGTGGTTATGCAGTTGCTGCCGCAAAGGGAGACCAGCGATTGAAGGCTGTGGCAACCGTCAGTATGGTGAACATTGGAGACTCAGCACGACTTGGGTGGGATGGGGACGAGAATTTATTGGAGAAGCTTGGCAACTTGAAGGCGGCAGCAGCTCAAATAACGGCAGAGGCGAAAGGTGCTGAACGTGCAGCTGCGCCATATGTGCCCCCCAAGCCTGACGACAAGACTCCTCGAGATATGAGGGAGGCCAGCGACTACTATCTTACGCCGCGGGCACAGCATCCCCGTGCCGAAAACAAAATGCTGTACCTTAGCTTCCCCCGTGTTCTCACCTTCGATGCGTTCCATCTCGCAGACGTCTTCCTCAAGCAACCAACTCTTCTCATCGCCGGTTCGGAAGCTGGATCTCTGTGGCATACCGAGAAATTGGACAAGCTCATTGGTGGTGCGACCAGGAAAGTTATTGTTCCAAAGGGAGCACATATGGACTTTTACGATAATGAAGCCTACGTGGGCCCTGCAGCGCTGGATGTTGCTAAATTTATGAAAGAGCACTTGTCCTGAATGTACGATAATATCATTACTCTACGTGCTATCACAAAAATGAAACGGGTTTGTGGTTATCATTTTGTTTCTTCTTTGCGATAATTTGTTCCTATTCGAACAATCCGATAGAAAACATCCTTCTACATAATCCACGAGAGTTTCTAAATAATTATATTCTGCCCTAGTGTGATATATTATATTTTGGTGTGTAGGTGTGGTAGTTGCGACTGAGGGGGTAAATGTAGCTTGTGATGTGGAGCGCTACGGTGAAAATAGAAAGACCCTTTATAACACTCGATAATTTAACTATATAAGGCTTTATGCCACCAAGCACATCTCTCGTTAGCTGTTGGATCAGGGATAATTATTGGGGAGTCCGAGACCAGATTAAGAACAGATTTGTTGGTCGCGTACGGAGGGATCGAGACTCCAGCAATGTGTTCAGACGGCGCGCCATTGTTAACAAAACCAGCAATGGTTTGTTGAACGAATTTGGAAATGGTAGGATCGACGTCGGGGAATGGACCATTGGGGAAAATATACGGCTGGTCGCCGCCATGAAGCGCTGGTGGGATCGAGAACTGGTACCCGAACGCCGCTGTGCCTTGTTGCATTGCACTTTTCAACATGGAGTTCTGGTTGCAGATAAAGATTGATTCAGCAATAATAAGTTCCGCTCGTTCAAGAGGGGTTTTATAGGGATACGACCCATCATAGGTTGGTGAATATAGTGTGTCGAATACAAAGTTAAAGTTTCTTTTTGACATATGCGGAAAAGTATTCCGAAGCTGCTGACGCAACAGCGTTTCGTCGTCGATGGCCTTTGGATCGATGAAGAAAATGCCCTCATGACTCATATGAGAAGATAGAATAGAGATGCCTTTTGAATAGGAGCCCTGAAGGATCAGTTTCGTTGGCACACCAGGGACAAAATCGCCATCAACAGTTGGCCCAAAGATAAATGTGCCGTGTGGTGCCTCGGCTATCTGTTTAGCATTTGCTTCAATCAGGGTGGCGGAGTCCACAGCTCGAGCCTCTTCGAGAGAGCTGACGTTGAGAATAGAGAGAAAGTCGTTGAAAGCGTCCTCTTGCAATTGAGTCCCTGGATTAGGAACAAAGGCTGATGACTGCGTGATAGCTTGGCGGAATGGTACAGGTTTCAAACCGCCGTATGCTGTAATCTGGTGCATAACTGACCCACCACCCGCTGAAATACCCATGAGAGTGACGTTATCAGGGTCTCCGCCAAACTTGTGGATGTTCTCCTGCACCCATTCAAGAGCGAGTCTCTGGTCATGGAGACCTGCATTCGCTGTACCGGTCTCTTGCAAGGTAGGGCCTGAGAGGAACCCGAAGGCTCCAAGGCGATAGTTCATAGCTACCCAGATAGCACCTTGGTTTTCACCTTGCTGAGTGGCCGCAATAAGGTCGTTGGGGCTTCCAAACATGGTCTTGTCCCCAAGGGCATAGCCGCCTCCCTGAAGCGCATTAGAATAACCCACGTGCTGAAGGAACAAGCCAGACAGCGAACTTACGTAAATCCACACTAAGACAGGAGCTCCTTTTGACTTGGATTGTTCATGAAAGACTGCTTTCGGAACTAGCACGTCCAAAACGAGACAATCTTCAGTGACCCGAGGATCCATTGCTCGAGGCGGCGAATTGGACAAGGTCTCCTCAGCTTGCGTGTAGTTGAATGGGAGCCTATCTGCTGCGTAGGCAGCAGCAAACTGGGATCCCATCCCATTCCACTTAGTATTAGCTTGAGGACAGATCTTTCCAATACTACCATCTTGGACCTCAGACTTCCGACCTCTGGGTGGAATGGGTGCTTTAAATCTCAGAGGACCTAAAGGAGGCTCCGCATATGGTATGTTGGTGAAGTTGTAAGTGTTGAATGTTTCCTGTGGCTGATGGTTAATAGACAGGTCCTGTATTGGTTAGAAATGGGAGGTGCTCACATCCAAGGAGATGGCGCGGTGAATCTGGTAGCCTAGGTCCACTGTTGGGAGACTTGAATCATTGCCTAGGATACTGCTGGCAAGTGCCAAAGAACCGAGGAGGAATTCAACGGTTGTGCTCATGATTCAATATGTCAGGCGTAGAATTATCCCATGTATAATGGCTGATGGAAGAGCTCCTGACTAGAGCGATCAAGTGAGTACTTATATCTCTGTGTATCCCTCAATGGATATAAATTGTCGAAAAGGCGGACTTTCAAGGAGAAGCAGTTGCAACTCCGCCATGTCCCGCTTTGCCGCACTTTACGGTGAAGAGTATCACTCCGAGTTTAGGCAAGATGTTATTAGTCCAGTTGAATACGCCCCTTACGGGGCCATGGCTTCGCTTTCGGTTTCCGAGTTCTCTAGCCGTTGTGCCATTTTTCTTAACCAACTTGAAGGCGAAGACTCATGGGTAAATGCAAATATTGCAGTCCCCTTTCTCTACAATTTGTATTCTAAGAGCCCACCAGACAAGTCTCTCAGGTGATATGAAACAATGAAAAGATTCTAAATAAATATACATATACGCTACAATCTGGCCCTTATAATGATAATAGTAAGTGTATTGAAGAAACAAGGTGACATAAATGTTAAGTGAATAATGACATGGAGTGAATGTAGTATTAGCTACCCCACAAGAGCAACCTGGCAGCTCCTAATATACTCCGCAGGATGGGTAAAGAACATTTGAACTTCCAGTCAGCTGATAGCACACTTTTAGCGTGCGGCCGCACACTAGCTCAGGGATATAACATTCCTCTCACAATATTATATCAACGTGACCATTCTCTTCCTGGAAAGTATCCATCTACGACCGAGTTTCATGGCTGAAAGCTCAGTTGCGGCCGAAACGGCCGCTCGTGCTTGTGCTGCATGCCACAAGAACAAGCGTCGCTGCGATAAGAGTATCCCGACCTGTTCTTTATGCAAAAGGTGAATTCATGCTTCACATAGTTTTAGTATTTGTTATTGACTGAATAGGTTTCGCCGTCCTTGCGATTATTCGGGGCTAACAAATGGTACCGATGACTCGGCGAGTCTGCGCTCCAGAATCTCTGAACTGGAGCAGCAGGTTGCTCGGCTATCAAACCAGACGCCATCGACATTGTCAAATTTCGACGATATAACGGCTGCGCCAATGCTTCACGATGCTTCATCGCGGCTTTATGTCAAATCCCTTTTCCTGGACTCAGGGCTCTCGGAATATTGCATCAAATCTAATCCTGTGGTTAATGTTTCCATTCCCCAAGAAGTAATTACTGCCATTGGTGATCAATTAGCCGTCGATCATATAAAAACTCAGTACTTTCGATTGATGAATACTTGGATGCCTATCTTGAACGAAGCCAAGTTAGACAGACTGATCAATCCTCGGAGCCAGAATGGGCTAAGGCCAGATACTGCGCTGCTATTACTGTCCATGAAGCTGATTCTCGAAGTGCCAACAAACAACGATGCAGAACGCTCACCCCTTTACGTGATTTCAAAAAAGTTCTGCTATACACTGGACGGATTGTACACTTTGACGAAACTGCAGGCCACTTTGATCATTGCGGTGTATGAATTGGGCCATGCTATATTTCCGGCGGCTTATACGTCTATCGGAACATGTGCCAGTCATGGCATTACCCTCGGCTTGCATAATAAGCTGGCTCCGCAAATGCTACAGACACCACGGAGCTGGGTGGATTGGGAGGAAAGACAAAGAGCATGGTGGTACGTGGTAATACTCGACAGGTCTGTAACTACTCTCTCTTTGGATGGCTTTGGTGTTAACGTCGTGATAGATATGTTGCAGCTGGGAGCGACCAGCGGTCATTATTCACGGAAGACCCAACTATTGACACGCCCATTCCCGTAGATGATGAGGCTTGGAAAAATGGGGTATGATCGTCAACTCATCGCAGACCAACATATTCAACTAATAACGTGTCGGAGTAGGAAATCGTGCCCCCAGAAAGATTATCTTTAGCATCTGCTACCAGCATGCAGGTCAGCCCATTTGCACGCGTGGCTCAAGCGTCACATTTATTAGGACGAGTGATCAAGCACTGCAATGATCAAACTAGTACGCCTGCATTTATGCTCGAGGACATGGAATTATTACACTAAACCACATCCTCAATTTTGTCTCTGTTAACTGAAAACTCTGCCGTCGCAGGAGCTTTCTATCTCGCACAGTCTCTTTGTTTGAGGTAACTGTACCCTTTCATGTGTTTTGTGCAAGTGAATGTTAACTATTCCAGTGCTCAGATGAAGCTCAGCGATCATCACAGTTGTGACTCGTTCAGCGAAAACATGCCAATTGATATAGAAACAGCGGCGCTTCTTCGTGAATGCATGGATCGTTCCATTGCCAAGATGAAGGAGAACTGCTCTCGAGTCGTGTCCTTTGCCCAGGTGCTGATGAAACTGGCGCAAGACTCTCACTTGGTGTGTCTCTCCCCTCTAGTGTTACATTGTCTGTATCGTACATCCGTTGCTCTTTCGTGGATGGCCATGGAAACGAGCAATGAGCAATATCTCATTGGAAAGACGATATGTGTAAACGCTCTTCAGATGATGAATACCAGATGGAAAGCTGCAGGTACTGTGTCTGTCAATGGTAGCCTCCTTGTTTCAAGTTTCAACTCTAACAGACGTGGTAGGAGCCTACCTCGAGCTTTTAAATGTAGCAGAGCGGGAAATGGGACAAGAGACTTTCTAAAAGAGCAAAGTAATGCAGTTCAGTCAACTCCATAGTCTCCGTAAGAACGGGGTATCATAGGTCGTATGATACTGATCCCCTATTCCTCAGCAACTCCGACACATATAATCCACCCTCTTCCTTACGCCGTTCTTAAGCCACGCGGCATCATTTCCGACACCAGGGCCCTTGGCGGGTCCCGTATATCTGATATCATGTTGGCAGTACAAAGTGGCCAAGGCTAATGTTAATGGGGCTATGACTATCGGCCGTTTGAAGCGTTTGGCTTTTGTTACATCGGAATAAAGAAGGGCAAAGGCGGAATAGGGACATGTACATCGGGTCATGTAAAAACTTAACTGGGTTAGCTGCAGCGGCCGCAGCTGTTGTAGTAGGCCTCAGTTGACAACAGAGTAGTTCACTATCAATTACTAAAGTCATAGCCATTCTGTGTATCGTAAATAGGGGTATGAAAGTTACTTACCGTAGTCAGTGTAGCATACAGGTATTGTGGGTACTGCGGGAATGTGCGGCCGGTCTTTTTGTTTTCCATCCATAGTCCAAGGTTTAGAACTCGACTCAGTTTAACCGCAGCGGCCGCAACGTCCGCGGTGGGGCTTTGTTCGGTGGGTGCATGAACTGATGGGTACAGTTTTGAGAAAGGTAAGCAGTAATAAGAACAGCAAGTCGAGAAGTCAACGTATACATAAGTCAATGTGTCTGCTGTTTCTCAAATATACCATAAAATGCTCCAGTCTCATACAACAACAATCTTTCTTGTCTATATTGATTCGGCTTCAAAGACATCATGGCGTTCAATCCTGACACACTTCCGAATCTCGCGGGAAGAGTTTACATCGTGACCGGAGGAAACACTGGCATGTAAGTCTGTTAACAATTCACAACGGTCAAGTGGTCACTTGGACTTTTCCTTGACCGTTAGTCACCTCCATTTACAATGTATTGCTGCTAAACGATGTATTATCAGTGGCTATTTCACAGTGTTTCACTTAGCAAAGCATCATGCAAAAGTGTATATGGGAGCGCGAAATGAGGAGAAAGCCCGTTCTGCCATCGAAAGCATCAAAGAGGACATTCCTTACGCTGAGATTGAGTTCTTGCTCATGGATATGATGGATCTCAGCTCGGTGGTTGCAGCAGCAAAGAGTATTTTACAGAAAGAATCGAGATTACACGGAATTGTGAATAACGCAGGAATCATGGCTGTGCCCCAGCAAACATCAAAGGATGGTTACGAATCTCAATGGCAGGTATGGTTGATACGCCGTATCTGGCTGCAGATGAAAGAATGAACTGACCTTATCCCCAAAAGACCAACTACATGTCCCACTGGCTGTTGACGAAGCACCTCTTACCGCTCCTACTGTCAACCGCGGCATTATGCGAAGAAGGGACGGTTCGAGTGACGAATGTTTCCTCAGTCGGCCACAAATACTACACACCGTCTACCGGTATTGATTTTGGAGATATTAATCAGGTTAAAGGTGGTTCTTGGTCTCGCTATGGGCAATCCAAGCTGGCGAATATCCTACACAGCAAGGAGCTACTTCGCCGTTATGGGCCTGGAGGAACCGAACTTTCCACCAGCAACACCCCAATTTGGACAGCAAGTGTTCACCCTGGTAATTATGACACGTAAGCTCTTTACAACACCCCAGCTGTTGTCCGTGATTCACTGTTTAACTTGTCGCAGGCAACTAAACAAGAATGCAAAAGGGCTGGCAACCGCAGCAGCGGTCTTATCGCCGATCTTGAAGTGCCTTAGAGTAACCCCTTCAGTTGATGTCGGGTCTTACAATTCTCTTTATACTATTGCAAGCCCTGACTTTTCTGATCAACTAAATGGTAAATACTTTGTCCCAGTGGCAAAAGTCGAGACACCCAGCAAGTTTGCAGAGGACCCTGAATTGGCAACCAAATTGTGGGAGTGGACAGACAAAGAGATGCAGGCTAAAGGCTTTATTTAACTGAGCCATCCAGGACGAACCACTGTCTATGGGTTAATACAGCTGCTTTTAGTAGCTGCTCAAAGATTTGAGGACCAAAGAACCCACCAGCCACTGTTCGAAAGACCTCTTCGAGCGACATCTCGTCGAGATTGGCGAAGAATGGGGCAACATTTTATCGAGGGTCGACTCGTGTTGGCGGATAACTCAGGACGCGGCACGCAAATCATTACGATCTTATAATTATTATATTCTCTTAGTGTATCGATGCAATTGTAAAGTCAGTTTGAGAGTAGAGAGTGAACGGGAAAAGAAGATAATTGATATAGAGACAAGAAATGAGGACATTACTTTTTCCCTCTTCACCAGGAAGATGTAAAAAATCGTGAATTGACCTGGCTAATCATTTGATGTAGGACAATGCATAGAGTGCGCTGCGTGGTGCCATGTTACAAAGGACATTAACCTATGACTTCGACAACACCAGTCTAGTTTTGGTACACTAGTAGCGTCGTGTGCCCTGGATATATCTGTGGTTGAGAGATGAACAGAGCCACGACTACGTCGGCTTTTCTCAATTGAGACAGGGGCCTGTGGAAGCACTGTACTTAGGCTCCGAACGGGTGTACACCGATATAATTCGTACTATCAGAACTATGCCGCACTTGCTAAGGCAAGGGAATCTTGAAACATTGATGACTGGTGAACCTATGGAGGGTCAGCAGGTTGCCCACCCTGGAGGGATTTGTATCTCCATATTTCTACGAAGGGAGGGGGCCGTCCTTTGCCGGATTTCTCAATGGTAAAGAATCCTCATGCAATTATCAGGCTCTTTCTGGAGCGGCTTTGTAATTTTGCACTTTTTGTTTTCTCGGATTTGTTCTGCGAGGGCGAGAAGGCAGACATCAGGATCTGCGAGAATTCGGGATCTTGAATGCATCCCGAAACTCCAGAGGCTTTACAGAAGATAATGTATGTCGGTTAAACTTTCTTGCTCTCTTCATTTCAATCATCATGATCGATGTAGATGTTGTCAATTCAGAACACGTTGGTTCGAGAAGTATGCTCATGTTGGAGAGCTTAGTAACAGATTCCTGGCCAACCCCCCGAAAACCGAGCAATTACCGCAGCGCTATTGCAAGCTAATGTAGGTATGTATCTTTGAACCCTTTCATTTCCCCGTAGCTTCCGTTATTTGGAGGTAATTGCTGTCTGGTCTTTGGGGTAGCGGGTATTAGTGCTCATGGGGTCAGAGTTCCCCCACCCAACCTGGGCACGGCTCGCTCTCCCCTCCTTGATGCATAATACTACAGGTTTCATTCAATTTAAGTTTGCTTGGAGCTGCGTCGCTGATCCATGTGCTCTTGGAATGTAGGTGAATTTGGCACTGAAGTCTCATACAATTGGATCGGTGTTGTTGTTGCTTGATGAACACACATATGTAGTGACGAAATCAGCTGTCAACTCTGGCACTTGCAGCTCTAAAAGCTCACCATTGAGTTCATCTAATTTTCAACAGGACCAAGCTCTATCAGCAAGTGGACAAAAAAGAAATAAAGCGCATGATATGAAAGTACGCATTTTGTTAGTTCTATTTGCGGAACCGCGGACCAGAGTGAATGATCGGTACTCTTATTCGCCTATTTTCTGGAGCTGTGCAGTGCTTGTGTCCCTGGTCTCCTAGACTTCTTTTCCTTGTTGCCGCTGTATGCAAGCCCTAGCGAGGGTGGCGAGATGCAGGTCAAGTAGTTCAACCAACTTTTGCCCCCATATATTTGACATGCTACTAATCATCCAGTCTATTCCTTTTTCAAAGAATGCCTTCTTGCACCCCTAAACATCAGCGCCCGGTGTTGCAAATAATGACGTTTTCTCCTTTGCAGTGCTTTTTAATGCCGGTAAATCGTTGAACCGCACAAAGTTGCAGGAGATTACGCGATATAGCATCGATTATCTCGATTCAAACAATGGGGCTGTTCTTCATTCTCATATATTCGTACAATTAGCACACTTCTGCATCCCTTCATCAACTATAGAGAAATCATCTTTCTCGATACCGACATTATGGCCAGCACTGTTGGCAAGGTAAGGTGCCCATGCTATCCCCAAATACCATCAAGACGTGAACCTACGTCAGTGGATGAGGAGCATCGCCTCTCCGTAAATCCGGCAACGTTCAGTGTAACGCCGTATTGCTGTTCCATAGAAACCTAGCTAACATGCATTTATAGACTATTACCTGCAAAGTAAATGCCTCTCTAAACTCTTTGAGATCGTTTTGGCGTCGCTCAGAACTTGTTGGACTAATTTATACTAGGCTGCTGTTGCGTGGGCTGCCGGAGAGCCATTGTCTATTGAGGATATCGAGGTTGCGCCACCTAAAGCCCACGAGGTTCGCATCCAGATTCTTAATACAGGCGTCTGTCACACAGGTGTGTTTCTCGTTATTATCTGGCTTGCTTTCTTGATTCATGTTTCTTTGTATAAAAATATGGCTTTGGTTCAAATTGACTGACATTGGTGATCACAACACAGATGCCTATACACTTTCTGGCAAGGATCCCGAGGGGGATTTCCCTGTTATCCTCGGCCATGAGGGTGCAGGAATCGTCGAATCGGTTGGTGAAGGAGTGACTAATGTCAAACCTGGGGACCGAGTGATTGCTCTCTAGTAGGTTGTTCTTTTGAACTCTACTGGTATGAATACTTGCTGATGATTACAAGTACTCCGGAGTGCGGCGAATGCAAATTCTGCAAGTCTGGGAAGACCAATTTGTGCCAAAAGATCCGCGTTACACAGGGGAAAGGTTTGATGCCTGATGGCACTACTCGTTTTAGGGCACGCGGTAAAGATATCCTACATTATATGGGTACCTCGACCTTCTCGCAGTACACCGTTGTTGCAGACATCTCAGTTGTGGCCATTAATCATAAAGCACCCACTGACCGTGCATGTTTACTGGGCTGTGGAATCACCACAGGCTATGGCGCCGCAACTGTTACTGCTAAGGTTGAGGAGGGATCCAACATTGCTGTTTTCGGTGCTGGATGCATTGGCTTGTCCGTCATTGAGGGTGCAGTTAAGAACAAGGCCGGCAAAATCATCGTTGTCGACGTAAACGACGATAAGGAGGCCTGGGCTCGCAAGTTTGGTGCCACTGACTTTGTCAACCCCACAAAGTTGGGTGGACAGACCATCCAGGAGAAGTTGGTCGAGATGACAGACGGTGGATGTGACTACACTTTCGACTGCACGGGAAATGTCGGCGTAATGCGTGCTGCCCTCGAAGCTTGCCACAAGGGCTGGGGTCAGAGCATTATCATTGGTGTGGCCGCAGCCGGCCAGGAAATTTCTACCAGGCGTAAGTTTCTTCTCGTATTTGTTGGCTATGTAGATGAACCCGCTTCTAACCTGATAAATAGCATTCCAGCTCGTGACGGGACGTGTTTGGAAAGGCTGCGCGTTTGGTGGCATTAAGGGTCGCTCTCAACTACCAAAGCTTGTTGATGATTACCTTGAAGGTTATCTCAAAGTTGACGACTACATTACTCACCGCGAATCATTGGCTACGATCAATAAGGCCTTTCAACACATGAAGGGTGGCGACTGCATCCGCTGTGTTTTGGATATGGAGGATTAAGGCTAGCAGAGGAAAAGTTAGTGCTTGGTTACATGGAGTATTATTCACCTTTCATATTCATGATATAAATAAAAAAAGCCATCTATCAATTTACATTGTGGACGACAATTACCCTACCCTCCTTAACTGATGCGTGAGAAGTAAGACGTAGATTATGGCGCAGCCATTGATCTTATCACTTACATTCCTAGATAACATCCTTCCGGGAGCAAAAAATATTTTATACGAGTGATTAGAGAAGCGGTGATCTGTGTGAAGGGAGACCTATCATTGAAACTCATAAATCAGGTGGTTCGAAGATCTGTAGTCCTGTGGTTTGTGAATAGACGATAGAGCAGTTGATGGAAGAGCGAACTGGCTTGGTAGTTTCTGAGCGCCACAAAAGCGGCAATAATAGTGATTAGCTATCAAGAAGAGATGTGATACCAAAACAGCTGAATCTCGCACTACTGCTAATCTACACGCTTTGAGTAGAAACTTGTGGTCCTGTGAATATTTTCCTAGCTTGTAGTTCCAGATGTAGAACAATAAAGATAAGGTAAGCTCTTGATTTGATTACAGAGAGCTAGACAATATAATCAAAGGAGGCCCAGGGCCTTGGCAGCATGCTGGACGTGATCGCCCGCGAATGTGGATATGAAGAAGTAAGAATGGTTGTAGCCCTGCAACCATCAGCATCACTTCGAGGATGTCGTTTCACAATAGGTCTTACTTCTCGGTAATTGACTTGGAGGCCGCTCGCACCAATCTCTTTTGCTACTTTCTCAAAGTTTTCAGGGAGGAGTTGGCCCTGTTTGTAGAAGTTGTCTTCAGTACCCTAAATAATTACAATTAATTAGCTCACGATTTTTTTGACAATGTCACCATTATCTGACGCTTACAACATCAATGAGCGCATTCAGAGGACCCTTCCATCCCCGAAGCAGCTCGGAAGCATCATGTTTTTTCCATTCTTCTTTATTATCGCCCAGATAGCCAGAGAAAGCTTTCTGGCCCCAGGTACAGTTGACAGGGTTGGCAATAGGCGCAAAGGCGCTGACGCTCTTGTACTTGCCGGGGTTCTTAAGGTACAGTGTCAAAGCACCATGACCGCCCATGGAGTGACCGGCAATGGAGACTCGCGAAGAGTCGAGCTCTTTAAAGGCACCAAACAGTAGGTCAGGTAGCTCATTAGTTAGGTACGACTCCATCTTGTAATTTTTGTTCCATGGCTTAGCAGTAGCATCGATATAGAAGCTTGCTGCACTGCCAAAGTCCCACGATTCGTGCTCTCCAGGGAGGTCAAGGCCGCGAGGAGAAGTATCAGGGTAGAGGAGGGCGAGACCGAGGGAAGAGGCGTGGCAGTGGAGGAAGCCCTTTTCGGTGACGTTGTCGGGTGAACAGGTCAGACCGGATAGGTAGATGAGAAGGGGAGCGGGCTTAGAAGCGGCAGCGGAGGGAGGGAGGTAAAGCGTTAGATTCATGGAGGTGGCTGTGACGGCGGACTGGTGAGTCAGCTTCAGGAATTGACCGCCAAAACTGTTAATAGTTGCGTTGATTGTGAAAGGGGAAGCCATGGTGATACTGCCAACGTAGTAGAATGCGAGTCGGGCTTCTTAGATAGCTCAGGCCAAAGAAGATGAAAGTACTGGGGTCTTATATAAATTGAAACTGCCTAAATATACATGCAGTAAGAGGCGCAACAGTTATGTATCTTTCTGTCAATGAATAGTTATAACACCCAATAGATTCTACTATTACTAAATACCAGTGATATCTGTCTTATCCAACTGGTTTATAAAATATACATGGTGCATCGACATTGTTCTCTGCTATAGTTACGTCTAAACGAAGTTGACAAAATTGCGTGCTATCGAACTTACATGTAGTTATGCCCCGAAGGCTAATAATGATTGCAATTGTAGCAATTACTGTACCAGAGCCAGAGTTAACTAGAGTGAGCCCCATTTATTCATTATTTATGGCTTCTATGATACTGGTACGGACATATCCTTTACTCCGCAGCGCAACTTGCATCTTTCGGCTGTTCGGGGTTCTTAGTAATCAAGTGAATTCCGGAAGCCGAATCAACAGGGGATCATATCACCAGCGGAAGAGTTTCCGAGAAATATATACCGGAAGAGATCCCCGAGAAATTCATAACATCGGAAGAGTTTCCGAAAATTTCCTCGTAAGCAATGTTTCTTGGCGTTAATCGGGTAAAAGAACACGCGAGATGTCGAGAAATCATGCCTCGATGGAGTAAAGTAAGATTATCCAAGAGATGCAATTTGCTCGAAAAGCTAGATTCACGGCAATAATTGCACAGCCTGCTCGGTATTTGAAGTTGACAGCATCTAACACGAACTAAGACTAGCCTTAGTCTACTATAGGAGATCTGATATCCACCGATGAAGCGGCTGTGAAAAAAAGTTTCACTGGTTGTCACAACTTACTGGACGGGACAAGGTAATAACGTGACACGATCTGAATATTATGACACGCTGTATTGCACATTCCGAATACACGGAGATTAGACTTTGGCTTGTTAACTCCCTAAGTTATGAGGGAGGGAACGGTTAATCTTTTTATCGATTGTTTCAAGTCTTTGGGAGCATATCATTCGGTAGACTCATCTCTTGGTAGGAAATTTGACTTATAAAGGGATCTATGTAACCAGTAAAGAGCTTAAAGACTTGCGAAACACATCGATTCTACTAAGCAACTTACTTACGATTATACAATCTCGTCTTCATTATACATTTGTCAACCAGTAATAGTAGTCTACTTCTACAATTCAACACAATGGCATTTTCACTCCATCCCGTTATTGACAACGGAATCACTAAGGGTGCCGCTGACTTCACTGGGGGCACTCTTTACTGCCACTGTCCCTCGGACAAAGTGGCTGTCACCCTGAAGGGCAATGTTCTTCACAATCATGCTTGCGGCTGCTCTAAATGCTGGAAGCCAAAGGGAGCGCTCTTCGCTATTATTGGCGTTATACCTCGCGACTCCGTTTCGGTGACTGCCAACGGATCCAAGCTCCATGTCTTGGATCCAGAGGCGACAATCCAACGCAATGCCTGCAAGGACTGTGGCGTTCACTTGTTTGGTCGGATCGAGAAAGACCACGCTTTCAAAGGCCTGGACTTTGTGCACGTGGAGTTGTCTGATGTGAAAGGTTGGCAGGAGCCACAATTCGCGGCATTTGTGTCTTCTATCATCGAGCAAGGATTTGATCCCAAGAATATTGATCAAGTGCGTGGAAAGTTCAAATCTCTCGGACTGGAGACCTATGATGTGCTTTCCCCCGCGCTTATGGATATGCTAGCGGCCTTCACAGCAAAGCAGGCAGGTCTACTCTAAGTGCGTGCTCTTGGGTTACAAATAAGGGAGAGATGGGGATATTTAAAAAGCCGGCTTGGATTTAGATTTCTATGTAGTAATCGAGATACGATTTTGCTACAAGGGCGACGGGTACAACTCATTCGAGCCAGTATCTAGTTACAGCAATCCAACCGTGTCCGCTAGCTCCAAAGGTAGCTTCAAAGAATAAGGGTATTTCCAGTATAGGTCCGGTAAGAAATGGATGGCAGGGTGAATGCCACTCACACTTGGTGGAGGCGGCCCAGCCACATGGGTTTAGTTTCAGCAACTGTCTGCCAAGGCAACCAATTGTGCCATTGTAACAGATGAGGAGAATTTAGGACGATTTGCCAGTGTAATATTATTGGCGGAAAGACTGCATGCGTCGTATGTGGTAATTGGCTGTCTAGGACGGTTACCTATCATAGACATTGGTTCGTTCAAAGCTGGTGGTTAGATGCGCCGGTCAAAAAGAAATTCTTGAATGATTGGAAGTTTTTTGCATTTGGCATACTATTGGCTCTGGCTACGTGGCGAATTCCGATCGCTAGCCGCCCAGATTGGAGTAGCCAATTGATTAGGATAAACTTTGAGTAAGTAAGTGGTTCTGCAGCGAGAGCTGAGTTACAGTTGTCATCATGAAATCACATCGTGTTGTCGTACGGGGTAATATTGCTGATAATTCCCACCATGAGATCATACTACAGTGCTATCCGATAGGATGTATGCTATAATGCGGCATCATTTGTAGCCGACCATCTCAAGCTGAAGTTAAAGTGCGAATACATCATGGCTTGAAATGAAATCTTATAAAGAGCGCTCTTTTCGATACAACAATACTCGCCATCATTTCTATTCACATCAAGCACCAAACACTCTGCATATTGACAGAAATTGGGTTTCAACTTTTTTTGTTTTCACAATGACTCCAATTCCACCTTCCATCACGACTGGCATTAGCAACTATGAGGAAACCGGCCATGGAGATCCTCTTCACAAGATGAAAGCGCTGACCTGGCAAGCGCCAAACCAGGTGAAGCTTCGTAAGGAATGCAATTGTCTTACGCTCGTGAATAATTATTGACTTGGTGTTAGTGGAAACGGCCAGGCCAACCATAGTGGACGATGACGACGTGATTGTCAAAATCACGGGAAGCACCATATGTGGTAGCGATCTCCATCTTCTCCATTGTAAGCAACTTTTCGTTTTTCATGGGAATCCATATTAATTCCCATTTCCAGCCGCTATCCCGGAGCTTCATAAAAATGACATCTTGGGCCATGAATTCTGCGGTATTGTTGAGAAAGTCGGACCAGGATCCAGGAAGCGCAAAGTGGGTGAACGAGTGGTAGCTTCTTTCCAGATTGGATGTGGAGAGTGCTTCTACTGCCAAAAGAAGCTGTCTTCTCTTTGTGAGCGGACCAATGGCAGTCTTAGTGAACACGCTCTTTATGGTCGTCGAACTGCAGGTATGTTTGGCTGCTCTCAATATGCTTTCTTTGCCCTCAAAAGTTCCCATTGCTGATGTATTCAGGCATGTTTGGGTATTCTCATTTTACGGGAGGATTTGCCGGTGGACAAGCTGAATTCGTCCGCGTTCCCTATGGCGACGTAAATCTTCTGCCTCTTCCAGATGATGTTCCCGATGAGGTGGGCCTTTACCTGTTGGATGTGCTGTGCACTTCTTGGAATGCCGTGGTCGACACGGGCGTCCAGCCAGGAGACACAGTTGCCGTGTGGGGTGGTGGTCCCGTTGGGCAAATGGCCGTGGAATTTGCCGTTGTTAACGGGGCAAAGAGAGTGATACTGATCGACGGGGGCCAAGGGCGTTGGCGTTTGGACTTTGTGAAGACCAAAGTCCCACAACTCGAAACAATTGACTATACAGCGTTACCAAAGGGGGAAACCGTCGTCTCTGTTTTGAAGAAGATGTGCGACGGACGTGGCCCTGACGTTGCAATTGAGTGCGCCGCTGGTGAATACTCCAAAACACTGAGTCATAGCCTCCAAAGAGCAGTGGGTTTGGAAAACGATACACCAGAGCTGGTGAATGAGATGATTGAGTCAGTCCGGGGCTTTGGAAGCTGTGGTGTGACTGGCATTTACACAGGTTACGTACGTCAAAACTGCCTACCTTCATAAGTAGTAATCTTACTAACCTATCCAGTGTAACGGATTCAACATTGGGTCTTTGATGGAAACCGGTATTCGCCTTATCGGAAATGGACAGGCTCCTGTGCACAAGTACTGGGAGCAACTTTTGGTGCTCATTCAACAGGAAAAAATTAGACCATTGGATATGGTCTCTCATCGATTCAGGCTTGAGGATATGGTTAAAGTATACGACTTGTTTAACCATCGTGCAGATGGCATGCAGAAGATCTTCGTGCAGACTCAGTACTCATCGCCTCCTACACCTGGAACTCCCGCTTTGACAGTCCTTTGATGTCTTGTGAAAGATATCATTACCGGTTACATAAAACTGATGTTTAGTTAGTAGTTATTGGGAAACAATATTCACTATGGATCTCTATCTAGCAGTTCATTCTTGTAGTTGTGAAGTCCATTACACGAGATCTTCATGTGCTATACTCATGGGGAGTATCTTGCAATAACGACTCGGCTATAAAACAAGACAACCACTATAGTAGATTAGATTGAGAGACAGACGCTAAATGTTCCATTGTAGCTGAAGAAAAGGGATAATGAGATCAGAGGTAATGCCGATCTATCCTGTTGATATCATGGCCAAAAGCATGCGGATCTTGCCGCTGACTTGCGTGGCGCATTCCTTTCGATGCTACGATGCAGGCGATAACCTATGAGCCACTGGGGAGGAAAGGTTGCTACACCAAATGGGCAATCATCATTATACGTATAACTAATGTAGCAATGGTATAGCCGCTGCCAAGTTTTCCCACTTGGAAAATTTAATCTCGCATACTCGCGAGTAACTACATCATACTCCTCAGATCAGAAACAATGATTTCATAATGATACATCCATATGCCCCGAATTGCAAGGGTACAGTTGGAGTTACAGCATTTGTGACTATCAGTGCCGCTTTACGGAGTAAATACAATAAATAGTCTTCCCTTTAGTAGAGGACTTACTATATAAGAGGTCCCGTGTCCATCATTATTTTGTGTTTACCGCACACCACCAAGATTTACAATATCGCTCGCTTCGCAAAACAATCATGGCCAATTATCTAATTTCGTTCACGAGGGTTATCACAACTCATGACCCAGAAAGTGGCAATGCTATATTCGAAAAGAATATTGATAGTACCGTGCCGTTCGAAAAATTTCCAGTTCCGACGGGAAGGCCTCCCACATCAGACTATGCTCTTGCATATTCGACCACAACGTTCCCGGTTCAGGGCCTTTCGCCAAGCACATCAGCCACAAATGAATCCAAGGCCAATCTAGATGTCAAACAGTATAAATCCAGCTTACAAAATTTGTCGCTTTTGAATCCAGATAGTGGCACAGCTTGCACCATAGTTGAAGTGCCATATGGCAACGACATTGCTATGCATCGGACAGTCAGTCTGGATTATGGTGTTGTTATTGATGGAACTACTGAGTTAGTACTTGACTCGGGAGAGAAGAAGACTCTCCGCAAGGGAGACGTTTTTATTCAACGAGGAACAGCCCACGCTTGGCGCAATCTCACCAAACAAGACGATAACAATGGTACATTGCACATCTTCTTTGTGTTTCAGCCGATTGAGAAGATTCAAGTTAAAGGCGGCGAGTTGGATCAAGATTTGACTCTAGGTATAAAATAAGCTTCTGTGGTAAGATTCATCGTGTTGGAATTCATCAGCTTGAAGGAGTAGCTCTAGTACCAGATGTTATAGTACAAAAATTGTTGATCTTACAAACTCAAGCTCGAGGAAGAAGAACGTATCTGTCATGATCCGCCATACCATAACGCCAACAGGGTAGTCGTTTGGCAACAATCGCAATTGTAGCAATTACTGTGACGGAACTAGCTATTCATAAAGGATGCACTGTTAAAAGGGACCAGCTCGTAACAAGACCACAGAAACAGTAAGACTAATAAAATAACGTAATAAACATCGTTCTATATCAATTTAAAGAAGCATAGTCCAATCTTTTGTGCCATTGAGCTTTTAGACTAGATGGACATCGCTGACTCAATTAATCAGCTACTTATCACGAATAGAATGATTCAAGCCAATACTTATGTGCCTTTTTGTCTGTGCCTATGGTCATCCGAGGGTGGCCTTTTTATACGTAGAAGCTGCCAAATTCTTGGTAGCCGTGCATGGTGTATCACGGGCATATGGACGGAACTAGCAGCTATTACTCCGTAGATGCCATTAAATCCCTGGATCATGTTCTATGGCGGCGCCTTAGTGGGTCTCATTGGCCAGGCGGCCATTTTGGTCGGCCAATTTGGTCGGCCATTGTGATCGGTCATCACGGTCGGCAGGAATGGTATGTCGTCCGGTCAGATTAAACGCAACAATACTGTCAAACTACTAAATGACCATTGCGACTACAACATTTGGTCATCATGAATAACTAATGAATTTGTCAGCTCAGTGGTCATAACCACGGCCACTTTGGAGATTGGACAGGCGCTTCAATATTCACACAATGGGAGATTACTAACTGGTGGCTATGTGTGTACTTCAACAACAGACCATGACATTAAGAGGAAAGAAAAGTATAAAGGCAATTGATTAACCAGGAAACTTGATAGATTATAACAAATTAGATCTTCAATATAATCTATCATTCGCGTTATAGCAATCATGGCTGGTGACCTTGTTCTTGTGAGTATCCTCTCTACAAACATAATTCACCACACCTATCCATGAATGGCATACCCAATCTTGTTTCACAGAGCAAGAAATGTTGATTTTTTACAACAGCTTACCGGAGCCACGGGCTTCATTGGCTTTCGCACTCTGGTTCTTCTCTTGGAAGCAGGCTACAAAGTCCGCGCTGCAGTTCGAAATGTCGCGGGGTTTGAAAGGATCAAGGCTCTCAAATCTGCTGCCCCGTACGTCTCGCAGATGGAACATATCGTTGTTCCGGATATCACAGTACCGGGTGCCTACGATGAAGCAGTCAAAGGGGTTAAATATATCGTACACGTGGCATCGCCCTTTTCTTCTCCTGACCTTGTCCAAAGTGACTACGAGTCCAGCTTTATACAGCCGGCTGTTAAAGGCACTGTTGGCATGCTAGACTCAGCAATTACTTCTGATAGTGTCAAAAGGGTTGTCATCACTGGATCTATTCTCTCAATCACAGGCCTCGCCGTATATGGTCCCGATGTCATCGTTGATGGTATGTAATCTCAGCTACTTCTTTTTACAAGACGTCGCTAATGAATGTGTTCTTAAACTTAGAAAATCACCGCACTGCCGTCACCACCGGACCTTTTCCCACCTGGATAGCAGCATATGCCGCCTCTAAAGCTCTGGCCCTAGAGGCAACAAAGGAGTGGATGACAAAACATAAGCCCCCTTTCGATCTGATTACGATTGAACCAGTCTTTGTTCTTGGACGAGACGAAACGGCCAAAGATGTTGATTCGCTGCTTAGAGGCCCCAATGCTACTCTGATTGGCCCTATGACAGGCAAACCGCAACCCATACCACTTCCATGCAACCCGGTTCACGTTGACGATGTTGCTTTGATGCATGTCCGCTCTCTTGACCCTAGTGTGCCTGGTAACGAAGATTACCTGTCTTGTGCTCACTCTCTTCAAAGGGTCAAATGGGAGGAATCATTTGATATCGTCAAGAAGCATTATCCCAAAGAGTGCGCTGAGGGAATCTTCAAGGTCGATACCGCAGTGCGGCCAAAGACTTTGGATAAAATAGTCGATACCACTAAGGCTGAGAAGGCATTCGGCATCACCTTTAAGTCTTTTGAAGAGCAGATACTGAGCGTCACTGGGCAGTACTTGGAATTAATTGGTCAGAAATAAGAGGAATAGGTTGGTGTGACCTACATTCAGCTAGAGTTCTTCACTAGCGATTCGATTTGTCAACGAGATCAATTTTGTTTAGGGTATTAGAGAGCATTTGATAGAGTAGCTTCAAATATACACTGCTTCATTATACTGGTCGCGAACAATAAGATTACAATAGCAGATTATGCCAATAATCTTTCGAGGCACATAGAGCCTCATTTGGTATCCACGCTCATCAGGATTGGAGTCGACCCTCATCACTAAAAAGAAGTTCATTGCGTATGATGTCTCAGGTATCTAAATATTTTGCTAAAGAAGCTGCCTTGTCAGGGTATTCCCCCTCCCCTCGCACGTTTCATTTTCTAGATTAAATCCGTGGCAATGTTTATCAGCATCCCCATCTTATCCACACCAGCGTCCCAAGTCTCCAGTCTTCGCTTGTAAAATAATTCATTTGACCGCCCTTTTGCTTCTATAAGCTCTGCAAAAGTGGTCATCGGGTAGCAGGCGTCTTGTAATGCTCTTTCAGTTTCCCATTCTTGGCGACTACGAGCTTCCCAAAGAGACTTATTCGAGACCAAAGGCAACATATGCAAAGGATAGGCACGCATGAAAGAGTTGCTAACTGTAGGGGAAATGATGCGGCTCATGAAGAACCAGACACATATAATTCTAGCGCATGTTAACATCAGCAGATGGGGAAATGGTAACACTGGCTTACCGTCGTCGGGTTTCCGCAAAGATCCATTCTTCCCAAGTCGCATCCGGAACGGTTTCTCCAAAATAGGTGAAACATTCGCCATTGAGAAGAGTGCGTATGCGAGTACACAAGATCTATTGAAATGAGTAAAGATGGAATCAAGTGCCTCTATGTCATTTTACCTACGTGAAATGTCTCGATAAGCTTCGGTGCCCAGGTCAAGGCGATTGCATCTTGGTCGGTAATTGCCATGATGATAAATTGCATAATCGCTTGCAAAGAGTGCTGGAGGCTGTACATCGTAGCAGTTTCGGCCTTGACAATGTTAATAATTCCTGCAGTTCAAGTGACGAGTCAACTGCAAATGCATACCTCGCCTTGGAATCGTTGTAGCTCGACCCCAATCATTCGCCAGAGGAATGGTCTGGTTTCCGGTGTCCGAGTCGAGTAAATCTGTGCAATGCTCATACAATTCGCAAGAGTCTCCGGCAACTCCGACATATGCCAATGAGCGTGTATAAAAGGAGGGAAGGTCTGCCGGCGCATCATCATCTGTGGGAAAGCATGAATGGCGTGCGTGAGTTGATCAATAGCAGAATTAGAAGAGAGAATTCCTGGGTGTAAGTTTTCCAACACCAACGAACTGCTCGAGTCCAACACATCAGTGTGTGTAGCGGAAGGGACGGGCTCGAGGGCTGGCCGCCATGTGGAAGAATTCATAGCGGATGAGGCCAATCGCGAGCCGGTTGTAGAGCTCGTAGCGCATCCGTCAACATCTTCACTGGTATCGATGGTGGAGTTTGATGAACTTCTGGATATAGCAGTAGCAGCGCTATGCGATGTTCCAGTATCCCCTCGCGGCAAATTACTCGTAGATGGGTGCTGCTCCTCAATCGTCGAAGCACCCACGGTCAACGGGCGCCGTGCAGGCCTGTTATAAGTGCATTCTAAATCCTGAGAGTGGCATCGACTACATTGAGGCTTTGAAAGGCTGCATTTCGTTTTCGACGCATGGCAGCGGAGGCATGCCTTTGGTCGAACCTTGCGCGTCGCATTGGCACGACGACAGTAAGAGACATGGCGGCTGAGTGAGTATTCTTCATGTGGTTATTAAGCAAGACAATTCAACCTGTTTGGCATTACAACTACGCACCCTTTGTAAAAGGCTTCTCACAAATAGTGCAGAACCTGAGAAACGTAGAAGCGGTCTCCTCAACTCTTGGCATAATTTTCTCCATTATTGAATATGTTGAAACTGGCTGAGACACGAGCTGATGTGCTCCTTACAAAGTGCTCCTTACAAAGTGCTGATGTAAAACGAAACGTGAATTCGTCCGCGGTTTGCAATTAAAGTCCGAGCTCTTTGCACTAAAATCCGAAATCCGTAAGGGAATGCTGCTTTTTAATGGATACTGATGTTGTGGAGATAATCGCCCGGCAATAATACCAGTACTAGAATGCTGACACTCCGCGGCTTTTCAGGGCCCTGATTACGTATCAATGAATAATACGATATAGCGCAAAATGGCTTCAAGATACAAATAGAAAAGCAGCATTGGTCTATGGGTCGGCCGTATTGAGGGGTTGAGGAAGGTAAACTATCATATACCGAACTACATACATGTATACATAATTTAGTAGGTAAGCCATTAAAACAGATGGAATGCAAACTATACTAAGGGTAGGTACCGGTAAGTATCAGTGTCATTGATGTTCCAGCAGAGGCATTATCACCACCCATACCAAATGAGTAGGCGAATACTGACATAGGTTTAGTAGGACGAAGATAAGTAAGACCTATTGTCCCAATCTTCGCTCTTTCTTGGATCAACGTGATCGAGACCCCCTGCATCCACAATAGCCCCTGCATTGCATTAGTAGATGGGCTATAGACTTATGCCTTTTCCTCGTAGCATATAACGGTGGCGTCCGGTATTCGACATTGATATCAATTTTATAGGGACGGATTAGCTGGAAAGTACAGGTATGGATCGCCCCTGGAATAGAAAGTACTATCGCCAAAACGGGGCTCGTTGCCAACTACAGTTAGCAAAAGAAACAGTCGGGTGCAAAATTCAGCTATGTATCGTGAAGTATTGTCTTCCGCTGTAATATAACACTTTTTACGACGAGATATAACGCTTCTTTACTCTAATATAACGCTTTTCTACTCCAACAATGTATACCTACGTTGTTATTATAAAGTAACGCAAAGCGCTGTATTGTAGCAGAAGAGTACTATATTTATGGCGGAAGAGTGCTTAAGCTGTATATTATAGAATAAAAGCGCTGTAATTGTTGATTATGTATGAAATAGCACGCTGTGTTTTAGTAGAATAGCGCTCTAGTATTGTAAGCTGCGATGGCGGTACTTGGTTTTACAAGCCCCGGGTAATACTTTCTAATCTAGAGGCGAACCTATTGAACTTTTTAATCCGTCCCATTTTGCATCGACTTGAGCCCCTGCAGCAAGCAGTAACTTAACTATACCCTCATGCCCATTGTCTGCAGCCCATGACAACGCTGTCCAATTATCCATTCTGCCTCGTGAGTCAACTTCAGCGCCAGCATCAAGTAGTACCCTAGTCACAGCCTCATGCCCATTCATAGCGGCCCATATCAGCGGTGTTTGGCCATTTCCATCTGGCGGAAGAGCAAAACCTCGCGTCCCCGGAATATATGCCCGCGGGATCCAGCTATCTTTCCAGTCGATTTGGGCACCTGCACCGACTAGGAGCTTGGCTACGGCCTCGTGCCCATTTCTCGCAGCCCATGACAGCGGCGTCATGCTGTCTCTGCTTACTGAATTGACTCGAGCCCCAGCGCCAAGCAGCAGCCTAACCATAGCCTCGTCGCCCTCCGCTGCAGCGCATAACAGCGGCGTTTGGCCATTGTTGGGGGCTTTCATTAGTTCATAATAGAGATTTTCGGGATGGGGCTCAGGGCCTTCCTAATCGACTTGAGCCCCTGCATCAAGCAATAGCCTGGCCACAGCCTCGTGCCCCTTTCTCGCAGTCCATAACAGCGGTGTCACGTTTTGATTATCCGGTGAATCGGCTTGAGCCCCAGCGCCAAGCAGCAACCTAACAATAGCGTCGTGGCCTTCCTTCGCAGCCCATAACAGCGGCGTTTGGCTGTCCGCGTCTTTGGAATTGATATACATATCAGTTTGAGCGCCACTTTCTAGTACGGCTGTCAACGTACTAACCATCCCATATCTCGCTGCAACGTGTACAAGAGTCGTTTTGGCTGGTGGACAATCAAGAGAATATGGGTAGGATCGATAGAAAACGTACTCCCATGTATCAATAATATCATTCGATGGCCATGCAAATAATTCCAGAAGAGCTGCTTGTGGCACATCCATTGAATCACTTTGTCGTGAGTGTGATGCCCATGAAGTCGTGGCATAGTCCAGAAACGGAAACGCAAAACCCACTGTATGGGGATAAACGTAACCGTGATTCCTTGGGGAGTGGTTCATTTCCTGGCCAATTTGCTGCCTAATTTCCGCCATCTTCAAATAACAGATGCATGTTTTAACAGCTCAAAGTGTGCCATTCCGATTGACTCATCAACCGATGACGATGTGTCGTCCAGAGTTACCAGGCGCTCGTTCGTGAAAAAGTCCTTAACAGATTGGTGAATGAATTGGACAACCTCGGTTTCAGATCCTGGGGTAACTTCAACAAGCCCCCGACTGAGTTTTATAAGACGTTGATTCATTCGCCGGTTGTCAGGTATATAATTCTCCGATCGTTGACACTCTTGTAACGATGAAAACCTGGCATCTATGACCAGTGCCCATCGCAACTCTTCTGTTGACAATGGCCGCGTTGCAAAGCAGACCCATTGTATAAGTCTCAAGGAGGTCAGTCCCATATCACGTATCAGCTCTTTATATAGCTCATGCAGACTTTTAGGTATGCGACGAATGGTCTTCTCGATCTTGTTTGAACCAGCACCATTCAACTCTAAGTCCCGAACTTGTTGTGCCACTAGCCGCGCCCATAAGAAGACGCCACAGGCACGGACAATGATTAGGCTTCGAATGACAAAAGCTGTTGGTTCTTCGAAAGAAGATAGCTGGAGCTCAGATTGCACATAGGTGGCAATATCGTTTTTGTTTTCCATCTCTAGGCATATCTCAAATAGATCTTGTGAACTTAGTATTGGATAGTGACGGCAGGTAAAACAAATGTGAAAATGAATATGAGCGGGATGCGGCGGTAATTTTTTAAGCAACCTTGTAAATCTGCGGACGAGATTTTTCGCATAAGATTCACCACATTCATCTAGAGCGTCGATAAACAACCAGATTGATCGATCTGTTAAAATCCTTGGAAGAGACGACTTGAAGAAACTCCACAGCTCTGCTAAATGCCATTGCCATTTTTCAGGAGGGTCGCCCATACCCTTACACTTCTGTTGATAGACACTGACAAGATCGAACAAAGCCTCGGGAGCCTGCTTGAGCATCTGATGAAGTAGAGATCGCAAGAAGCCAAGTGGAGTCTTTTGAAGATCGTCACCGCGGGCATGAAAGAAGAAAGACATGACGAGATCATTGCCTCCTGCACCAAGTATATCACGCTGCTTGCCTAAGGCATATTTAAGCAGCGTAGACTTCCCTGCGCCTGGTTTTCCCTTAATCCATAGTAAGCTTCTGTTGGATGTGGCCCAATTGATATACGTGTCGTGTTTGAGCAGCCACTCGCACGTCCCTGGAACGGCATGTTCAATGTCATTGTCGCGATCCTGCATCTGCCTGAAGGCTAGCGAGTGTAGGCATTTCTGTTCTTCCGGCGATAGGCGTGGTGATATTTGCCCTAGATAGATTTTAATATGGGTTGCTCTTGAATTATCAATCATGGACTTAGTGTAATCACATACGCCTTCGCGTTGTAATCGCACGCTGAGTGAGGCTCTTAATTCTACCGAGAACTTTCTCATACTCGAAGTCTTCCTCACTAAACTTGACCATTTCTGAGTGTGTACGATTAATGGCGCAAATGTATTCAGGTCTGTCCTCCCAAGGCCGGCAATGGGTGGCAGACGCCTTAGATACCACGACGGCTGGTTCTCCTGACATCGTCCATTTACCACTTTTATTATCCTGCTGCGCATTAGCGGAGTCCACTTCAACTAATCGATGGAGCCACACCTGTAATGCAGTTGGCGACAAGCGGGTTTCGTAGAATGAAATAATCTCGAACTCGCCTTTGACGCCTAACGCCTCTGAGAATTCACGTTGGTGGATACTGAGGATCTGTGAATTAGTAAATCCAATAGATTCTAACAGAAATCGATTTGGTCCGTCTCCAGCCATAGGAATGAGGGATCGAATATCCATGCCGTCATGAGGGACTCCAAAAAATGCAATGCCATAAATTGCATCTCTTAGCCTCTGGTCCACATCATCTATTGACTTTGAGAGTGATATGAGGAACTATTGCAGTGTTAGAATATTATATATGATAGCCGGGTGTTGTTAGTGGGCCTACCTGTTTGACGATTAATCCGCCCAAGCTATGGGCAATAAACACAATAGGCTTGAACGAACCGTAAGATATGAGCGCTCGAAGGTCAGAATGAAGGGCAGTTCCAAGGTCCTTCAGATTCTGAAAATTATTGCTGTTTGGGAGACTTGACTCGTAGCCATATACCATAATGCGTGCAATTCGCTCGCCGCTGTCGCTTGTGATGCCACGTGGGAGTGCATCTCTTAACCACATATGCTCTCCTCCCGGCTCTTTAAATGACCCAAACGCGTGTCCGCCAAGGCCAGAGATGGCAATGATGCTTGAAGCCATCAATATCGACACTTATACAACGAGTGGGCGAATGATTTATTACTTACTCAACTTTGTGGCCTTGCTGCAAGGGAGTGAAGAGACTGGTAATGCTAAGGAAGTCATGATCCAGCACCAAGCTATGTGACTCATCATGCTGGCTAGAAGCTGTAGGTAGGGAGAATTTTGATGGCGGCTGGTAGTCGCTTCGAAAACAGACGGTGGCCGTCTGGGAGCGTCCATGAAACTCTTTGGCCAATGATTTTATCACTGGGTCACATGATTGGATGAGGCAAATGTGAAATATTTATGGTCAGGGCTCCGCTGTCCATGTTTATATAGCAACCACACACACTAGTTATTCAGGTATCACTGTTATGGCCGCGCTTGTTTCTAAATGCCCAAGTGATGTCCAGAGAAGCAAAGCGCCACAAGCCAATCCCAAGACGTGGTTGCACCCATTCTAACCGGTAGTAAAACAACAGCAGCATAGCCGCTGAGCGCGGGTAACCGTGGACACGTTGATTGCCAAGAAACGAGGCTAGGGGGCATGAATCTGTCGTGATTTCTCTGGTACAGTATGTTGCTCACCTACCCGCCGGCTCCTACTGTTGGCCAATGCCAGCTCTTCCGATATCCTGGCCTGAGATGCCTTGTCTTGCGTCACCATCTTTCTACGGCCACATGATGCAGGCAGGTCATGGATAAAGGCTAGAGGCTAAACTTAGAACGGGCTTCAGGTAGACAGAGCAGCACGCAGCCGCCACCGTTACGGTCGTCCTGGGTCAATGAACGTCAGCCATTCGCTGGATTCTCGAATAGATCCATATGGCTGTACTACCAAAGGATACGCAAATGATTCTAATTATAGGTGTCCGACACACGAGGAACCGAAATATATGCATAGGCAACAATCACTTGCGCCCTGTACAGCCCAATTTTACTCTAAATTTTACTTGTTTATGTCGAGCTTTAGCAGGAATCTGGAGCATGGCCCTAGATACTGGGCCAATCCAAAATTTCAGGATCATGGAGACGAAAAGCTCTAAGGAATAAAAGAGAGAGCTAATTCGCGAGCCCGCTTTGAAGTGACTCAGCACCAGCTGCCTTGGCGTTTAAGTTGCATATCATTATGCTGGTTGTCATATTGAACCTCGATGTAACCTTATTCATTGGCAATTTTTCTAATATCCTTTGATAGTATTCTCGCGGTCCCATTTTTCTTCGTCAACGGCATAGCAATACCTTATAAAAGTTGCATTTACTCGTAAAGCTCTAATAGACTACATCGTACTGTAGCCTCATGATCTTATTCCTATGTTAAATATATAAAAAGATAGCTAAAATGATCTAAAATTAAACTTTATGAATATATGAGTGATTAATACAGAACGCGGAATAATAGCAGTTAGATCAATGCAACAAACATACAGCTTCTAGGGGCTTTGAACAGAGCCACAATCGTGACAGTGTATACCCTGTAACTAAATAGAATGAATAGTCTCGTTCGACTACACAGACTATTTGGGCGTAACCTTCATATACACACTAAGAAAATCCACCAAGACTCACTTGATGAGACTTTTTGATACGGAGTACGAGTTGATGATATTGCAACTCCTACATCCATGCTTAGACCTGCGCCTGTTGAATACTTAAGAAGATATATATACGTTAATTGACTTTGCTCTCGCCAGTTCCTACACCGAACAATGTTGTAAAGGATAATAAAGAATCGAAGATGTCATTTAATGAATACATCTCATATTACTTTCAGTTCATTTGATCTACCTGGCTGGGACTAGTGGCAAATTCATCGCATCTGGATATGTTGGCAGTGTCTTCTGTGATTGTGCACCCCACTATTGTACGGATTGCTTCACTGTCGCTACTAGTATCACTTGATGTTGGGCTCTAGAAGCTCAAAGTAAGGTTATACCATTAGAATATAGATACGCATATACTCAGTAACCACTTCCAATAAGCTACTTCAAGCCAAGGTATTGCTTTCATTGTTTACCTGTTCGGCGATGCCCTTTTTGGGCTGCCAAGGCTGGAGCCTGGCGCTTTCATCTCATTTTGAAGACTTTCCCACTACCAACAACAAAATCGAGTGCAAAAATCTCCACTCATCCTGTGTACGGTAGCGTCGATACGGGGTATAAATACTATTAGGAACATCTAGGTGGATGTAAACTGCTCGTGGGCTGACAATCGTCTCTGTGCCAACTTTTGTAATCACCTCGGGCGATTATCGCTTCACTACAATTAACAATATGGCACCTATTATCCTAACACCCGAACTCATTCAGCGCATTATATACTTTCTCATCCGTGATTGGACTCGCGATGGACACCCTCTCCGCCGAGGCGTCGGCAAGCATGCGGCCGTCAACCCCTTTTGGCAGGATACAATTGAGCGCAGGACTTTCGCCACACTGTATCTCGATCTGGAGCGACTCTCAGAGGTCAACTCTATCGTCACCCCTCGGCGCCGTCGGTATGTACGCGAGATCTTGCTCGAGGTTGTGCTACCATGGCCTGGACCGCGACAAAATCCCGAGAAGGACAAGGAGAAGCTGAGGAACAATCGCGCACTACAAGCCACGTTTGAAGCTTTTTTGCAGTCGCTAAGCCAGTGGTCTGCGGATGAGCTGCATCCAGGAGGCATTGGGCTCCGTGTTTTCGCGCCTCTACCCGTTGAGAAGAGACTTCACTCTCCATCATGGAGACATGAGAGAGGACCCATGTGGAAACGCAGATATGCGGAATCAGTGTTGGAGCTGACGGACCCGGCTCGCATTGCGCAATATTCCCCCGTTGTGGCCATATCTGAAATCAACGTAGATGCGCCAAGATTTGAGGATCGACACATCTCTGCAGTGGCTATTTGCGCTTTGCTAGCAAAACTACCCGCAGCAAAACGAGTGTCCTTTAACTGGTGGAAATGGAGGCGATTTTCAAGAATGCGGAATGGTAACGTTCTTAATCTTCTCCAGGTATAATTATGAATAACCACTGACATACATGGCGATGTAGAACTTGCTGATGCCTTGTCTCAAATCAATCATCCCATAGACGTCTTTCATATCTGCGATGACAGTTATGTTGCCATGAGTCAGTCTCAATCACCTCCATCTCCTACGCTCTCAAGTGAAGGAGAAGATGGGCTTTCCAGAGCTTTCCACATCCTATCCCAGCGTTTGAAGGAGCTTCACATCGATGGCATCATAGTTAGCAAAGAACTATTCTACCCTCGGACTCTCTCTGTGCATATGGCAGAACCGCGATGGGAGAGGCTGGTCACTTTCTCTTTGTCCTATCCACCCGTCACTCCGTCGGGTGAATGGCTCTTCATTCCCGACCCAAATGCCTCGGATGACTCGGAGGACGAAGTTAACGATTGGTTGAGCATCACGTCAAGCCAGGAGCCTCGATCTGAGCGTTGTATTGCAACCCCAGCCATGCAGCAGTTTTACATCGCTGCAGGGCGCGCGGCTCTCCAGATGCCAGCGCTGGAAGACATGATGCTCGACGCGGGACTGGGAGAGGGCGACGAATATTGGCATAAATTCTGGTATCATGCAAAAAGATCAACGGCCAAAGCGTTGTGGACAAGCAGCTCTGGATTTGTTCCTGACGATGATGTTTTGGAGTGCTGGCGAAAAGTACCAAGGAAGTACTTGAAGGGGGAGCTTAAGGTGGAGATCTCAAGTGACTTTTACGCTGCATAGTTTGATCTCTGAAATCAATCCGCAACATGTTAGAAAAAATGCAGAGATGATCTTCTTGAAAATTCATGAGGCAAGTTGTGTCTCCGTTATGATAGTCCATAACTTGCAAGTGCTTGTTTATTTTTATATAGACGGTGATTTGTCCTCTTTGATAGCTATTTAAATTCGGCTATACAACTTGGAATCGTTATCCTTCTGAGTGCTCATGGGCAAGTCAATAGCTGGGTTTTGTGGGAAGAAGTTCACTGGCTTCAGTGTGACTTGAAGCTTGTCAACAGGCATGACGGGCCAATCCTAAGAGCAAAAAATTAGACAAGTGTAAACAGAAAAAAGGCACCAAGTTCTATCATATCATCTTACCTCCACGCGAGGGTTGTGAGTGGTGCCAAAGGTATGCCATACGACAACATCGCCATTGTCAATCTCTTCATTCCTGCCCTTGATCCAAGTCAATATGCCCTCGTCTCCTGCAGATTGGTTTGTCCATTCTCCAGACGCGTAAAGCTCGTCGTCGTGGTACTTGGTAAACCACATGCTGTGTAAGGCGAATTCAGATCGTCGCGCGTGAAATGAGTTAGGGTTAGCAAGTATCAGCTACATAAGCAACGTGATTAGAAATCGTGAAAGGCATTCCGTCTACTTATGGGACGTAATATGGGGAGCTTACCTGACTATTGAAAGGAACCACGGCGTATGCATTTGACATGCATAGAGCAAAGTAGTACGCCCCCTGTGACGAGGCATCAGTAACTATCTAATCCGTAGTCATATTCTAGACTTCAAGTGGCTTCCCAAACCACCCAATGTGATCGTTTTAGTCGCAAGGTATTCTTCTATGCCATATTTTCCTCCTTCTCTGCCAATTCCGCTCTGTTTGACTCCTGTCCACCTGTAATCACAATTGTTAGCTCGAAGGGCGGAAAGCAGGATTAGGTAGAAAAGAGAGGAGAAGGTGGTATAGATGACTTACGGGGCGGCATTGTCGCTGATTATGCCAGTGTTGATCCCTACCATTCCCACTTGCAATGCTTCCGCTACTCTCCAGAGTCGGGAAACATCCTTGCCGAATAAGTAGGCGGCAAGGCCTACATCGGACTCATTCGCAAGGGAAACTACTTGCTGGTCGGAATTGAATGAAAATATCCCAGCCACAGGCCCAAATGTCTCTTCTTGCGCCAGCAGCATGTTGGCTTTCATACCAGTTAAGACGGTAGGCAGATAGAAGCTCTGGCCGAGACTCGGGACCAGGGCGCCTCCCACGATGACCTTTGCTCCTTTCTCAACAGCATCTAGGACGTGAGAATGAACTTTTTGGGCTGCACGCTCATGGATCAACGGACCGTGAGAAACGGAGTCGCCTAATCCCGAGCCTACCTTGAATCGTCGCACAACCGCTGCATATTTGCGGACGAATTCGTCGTGAATGCTTTCGTGCACATACAACCTATTGGCACAGACGCATGATTGCCCCGAACTTCTAAATTTGCTTGCGATTGCTTCTTCAACCGCTTGGTCCACGTCGGCGTCATCGAAGACAATCAGTGGCGCATTTCCTCCAAGCTCAAAGCTGACCCTCTTCATAGTTGAGGAGGCCTGCTCCATTAAGAGCTTGCCAACAGCGGTTGATCCCGTGAATGAGACCTTCTGCACGAGCGGGGAGCGCGTTAAAGTGCTGCCCACTTCAACGGTATTGTCTAAAGCTGTGATCACGTTGATGACGCCTTTGGGAAACCCTGCCTGTCTAGCCAACTCAGCGAGAGCCAATCCACTGAATGGAGTCTCTCCAGGGGCCTTTATGACGACTGTGCAACCTGCAGCAAGTGCAGGTGCGGCTTTACGAGTGATCATGGCGGAGGGGAAATTCCATCTGCCGTAGTTTGTTAGAGTCAGTGGGTTTTCAGTTGTTGTCCAAGGGGGGATAGTATGCTTACGGAGTGATCAATGCACAGACACCAACGGGTTCCTTCAAAGTCAGAATCTTCTTTCCATCCACAGAAGCTGGAATAGTATCTCCATAGATACGGACTGCTTCCTCGCTGTAATATTCCACGAATCCTGCCGCAAAGCCAATTTCTCCCTTTGCTTCGGCTATTGTTTTACCATTTTCCAATGTCAATAGAAGGGCAAGATCATCGATGTTATCAATAATCAACTGAAACCATTTTCGCAGCAACCGGGCTCTCTCGCGGCCTGTCAAGGTTTTGAAGGCAGGAAAAGCTGCAGCTGCCGCCTCGATGGCTTTCTCAGTATCGGCTTGAGAAAACTCTGGACATTTGCCGATAATCTTTTGAGTCGCAGGATCTATAGTGTAGTTGAGAAATCATTAATGAATATTCTGAAATGGACATGTTTTTCCCAATAGTTATTACCAGTAACATTGAAGACATTGCCCGCTTTGGCTGAAATGAAATCCCCATTGACAAAACAAGCTTCCTTGAACAAAGTCTTGTTCTTGAGCTTCAGTTTTGGCATATTAGTTTAAACTCTCCTTTTTTTGCCAAGGGTGATGAACTGACCTTGGATGCCATATCGAACTCAGTTACCGGTATCATATTTCAGCTTGTTTTAAGGAGATTAAACCTATTGGTTCCAATGTCCACACCAATGACTGGAGTTTTCTTGTCTTCTTTTAGAGACTTCATCTCCATCTATATACCTGAACCATCGTGAATTTGTCGTATACGCCATACTGCTATCTAATGGTATTTGCACATATGGCATCAAGCACGAAGGCCCCAATAACCGCCAATGCTATTGAGCTCAGCTCCCAGAGGCCAAGAGACTCTTGCGCCCTAACCGCCGACCACTCCATCGTCTCCAACCGCCCCATTCCAGCCGCCGTGCATCTAGAATATCCAACCGCCGAGCACTAAACTTGGAAGAGTTATCGGTCCCCGGCCTAAGAAACGCCCCCCTTTTTCCCCAAGATCCCCCCGCAATTCGCCTCCTGTGGAGCTCCGGGGTAACCCGGAGCCTTAACCCAGCAGTCAAGATTCTTATCTCCCGGCACTGAATGCTGAGCCAGATCGTGTAGATACGTGTACTACATGGCGAATAAAAATTGTAGATAAATATGCTGACAGCAACGCCTACTAAATTCCCAGCAACTTATCAACTTTTTCTTCACTCATTTCAACTACCAATTTCAGCGAGATACAGTTGCAGCCAAGAGTAGCACTTTGCAACAACCGATGGCACCCCACAACGACGGCGCGGCTGTTGAAGGCATCGCCGTGGAGCTGGAAAATCAACTTCCAGATGCCGAAAAGTCCATCAGCTATGACCCTGCGCTCGCCAATGCGGCAGACACGCAGCAGCTAGGTGCGTTCATTTTGTGGGGAAACATAATACCCATCGTACGATATTGTGTAATCCGCAAGGCCATCTAATATCTAAGGTAGCAAATATCGGTTACAAACAGGAGCTGCAGCGTCATTATTCCAGTATACAGGTATTCGCCATAGCATTTAGTATTATGGGCCTGCTCCCATCCATCTCAGCGACGCTATGGTTCAATGTTCCTGCAGGTCCCGTTGGAATGGTGTGGGTAAGTGGACTCTGCTGGACATTTCGATATCCATGCTAAGATGCTGACTACTCTAGGGATGGTTCTCCGCAAGTGCCTTCATCTTTGTTGTAGGATTAGCTATTGTGAGCTTACTGTTTCTGTTGCTTGTCTGCGTCGAGAGTATAAACTAATCCGAGCAGGCTGACCTCGGCTCCTCGTTACCAACCTCTGGTGGGCTATACTGGTGGACACATCACTTCGCTGCCGACCGATATAAAAATCCTCTGTGCTTTCTTGTGGGATACAGCAATACAATTGGGCTAATTGGCGGTATTTGCTCAATAGACTGTATATCATTGCTCTCCTCATACAAGAATCTGGACTAACATCAGTTTTAGACGGCTTCGCATCCTTTATTGTATCCTTGGGTACTATCAGCAGTGATGGAGAGTGGTCTCCAAAACGCGGATACCTTTATGCCATATTTGTCGCGACCGTTCTCTCGCATGGTCTTCTTGCAACCTTTGCTGCAAGGATTATGCATCATCTTCAAACATGGTTTGTCGCTGCGAATTTTGCACTAATTGTGGCAACGGTTATTGCTTTGCCAGTCAGTATGCGCATCAATGATGTGCCAATTAACTCAGCAAGTGTCGTCTTTGGCCTTTCTAAAAACGAAACTACGTGGCCGACAGGCTGGGCATTTATGCTATCATGGCTGTGTCCTATTTGGACGATAGGCGCCTTTGACTCTTGCGTACACATGAGTGAAGAGGCTAAAAATCCCACCGAGGCTGTTCCTATCGGAATAATAGCGTCCATCGGATGCTGCTGGATCCTGGGCTTCTTCGTTAATTCGATATTAGCTGCTTGTGCTGGCAGCGACTTCGGGGCCATACTTAGCACCCCCTTTGAACAGCCTGTTGCTCAGGTAAGTATACATTAAAGCATACGAAACGCTCCTCAGTTCAATAACAAAACTTGGCTAACTAACTATTGACCGCAGATATACTATAACGCGTTGGGTAAACATGGAACTTTGGGGTTTATGTCTGCCATATCAATTTTGCAGTATTTTATGGGCTTAAGTATTGTACGTCGACTTACACCATCATATCCCTGTTCTCAATAATTATATCCTCAATGAAATACATGCTTACCGTGGCTTATCCTGCTAGGTTGTTGCGGCGTCTAGGCAAACTTGGGCTTTTTCCCGCGACGGCGGCTTGCCGTTTTCCCAATACCTCCGGAAGATAAGCAAATCTTTTGGATACCAGCCATTAAGAACAGTGTGGGCATCCTGCATTGTAGCTGTGATCCTTGGTTTGTTATCATTGATCAACAACGCTGCTGCCAATGCTCTCTTTTCGTTAGCAGCAGCCGGTAACAATGTTGCCTGGGCAATTCCAATCCTGTGTCGCATTCTCTGGGGCCAAGAGAAATTTCGCCCTGGACCCTTCTACACCGGAAAACGACTCAGCGTTGTAATTGCCGTCGTGGCACTGATTTACTTGGCATTTGCTACCATTCTATGCATGTTCCCGACAGAAGGACCAAATCCTGATCGTAAGATGACCCCTTTCTTCTCCTCTCATCCTTTGTTAGTTATCGTATAAGCTTCTGCTAACATCGACGAAGCAACCGTTATGAATTATTCTTCAGTTGTCAATGGGACGGTCTGGGGAGGCGCACTCCTGTATTATTTCTTATACGCGCATACTTGGTTCAAGGGGCCTATACACAACACTCATGCAGTATTAGAAGAAGACTAGAACTGGCATGATATCGGGCAACTTGCTCGATGCTATTAGGCCCTTTCGTAAAGCAAGCAGGGATTTGGAGACCTTAAACGCGTATAGGGAAAGTTTCCTAATCTAAACTCGGATTTCATGATTGTTTGCTCTTCTGTGGATCCTGAGCCTAATGTAACAGGACCATTGAAATGTCCACAATGTTTCTCAAACACAGTGCGGGAATTTCCACTGCCGTTTCCGCAAGCTTTGGCTTGTGATATTGTCCCAATCCAATGTTCTAGCTGAATTGGTTATTAATCTCGGCTAATTTCTTCGTTAAAGGATCCAACTGAGGGCTGCCAGACACGCGATATGCTATTCCAATGCCAGCCATTCCATCTTCCTAGCAGATCTTGCAGCCGTGCTAAAGACCAGTCCCACATGTTTGGCGGTCTAGAACAGTGGAACGCTTTTATTGCGAATTGTAAACTGCACGACCTTTTCTGCTTTTGTTTGCATTGTGCGCCGTGGTAGTAACAGTGTTACACCTAGTAAAGAGACCTGTGTACACATATAAGTAGTCTGACCGTAGCGTAACAGTGCATCGTACACCAAACTACATGCAGCCTTCACATGCTTGAGAACTTCTCAAGCCGGCCCTCTACGCGACGCTAGCTCCAAATAACGGCGTGAGCTTAACCAACAGTTGTACTACCGTATACACGGATGGCTGATTTGCATACTACATGGCTTCTAAACTAAGCAGCAGTGAAGAGACCATCCCTTCGTTCACACGAAATCTGCTGCATAAATAACATCTGCTGTTCTGGAGGAAATTACCATGAGGGGCAACCTTCCTGGACCTTGGAGCGCAGATTGACTCCGGCTTAGTGAAAGACTGGGCGATGATTTTCCGATCGACAGGGCATTTGATAGGATGGATATCTTGGCACATCTATAATTAATTACCCCGCATATTGTGAAGCATACATACATATTCAAATTGTAGTTGTCGACAACAGGGTCAATTCATTCCCGTTGTCCAGACGGCGGATAATCGCTCGGTGGAAGGGGGGAAACTCAGGTACTAACAGCAGCAAGGATGATGCAGATTGTGCGCTCACTTTTCATAAAGGGCGGCGTATATATATGGAAACGGAAGAGAGTTGGCTCAACTACTTCTTTTGAGGTGATTAAACAGCACCTGATGCATGGTGCTCGTGGCATCTAGGAACACTTGCTACGCGAGCTAAATGTAGATCGGGCCCATTTTTGCCGTCTTACCCATAATCATGGTCAAAAATGTGTAACCATCCCAGCTGAACATTACGGGGACGATCCGGTTCCCTCGATTGGCTGTTCGATGAGGATCCAGCCACTTTGTCTGCATCGTTGATTTGGATACGGGCAGTGTCAGCTTTGGCTTGCGCGGGGCAGTGTCTCGCTCGCCTCAATATCGAATGGAGCGAGGCATACGAAGTGTTGGCTCACAACAAACTAGGCCAACGCCAATGGAAGGAGCTGAATCCTAGCCGCATCCAAAAAGATCATCAGCTAAAAGCTCTGCTTCTTCGCAATGACGACTACGTGTTGGTATTGGCTCTCGTTTCAGCTATTCCTTCGAATCCCCCAAGTGATGGAATGCCGACTTGTGGGGGCGCACAGCCGATTCCTGTGAGATTCCTATCAGCTTCTATTCATACGGTGCCTAGAGCCTGAAGGACGGCAATGCAGCATAATACTCCAAATGTTCAAATGTGCACTACAGTACATCACTGATAAGTTAGAGGGCTAGGCTAATTATCTGCGTAACTGCGGTTAGACGAGACAGATCCAAAGTAAAACTTTACACTTCACATTCAACTTCTGTCAGAATCTTGAATACATCATCAGCAAGCATGGCTTCCTCTTACACCAATTGCATGCCAGGCCGCAAGCTCAAAGACTCTTGCGATCCATGTTCAGCATCTAAATTGAGATGCAACAAACAGAAGCCCACTTGTGCTCGCTGCACCGCGCTAAGTCAGCACTGCTCCTACAGTCCAGCACGACGTGCAGGCCGACCACATCGCGTACGGGAGAAGAGCCAGCAGCAATGCCCAGAAATAACAGTGGAAACAACCATAACTCCTGTGGAGACTTCCGATCAAAGTGTTGATATGAGCCTCGACACTGCAACATTACTTGTCATGCAATCCGAAAGACATAACCAGATTAATGAACAACAGCAACAACAACAACCGGCTGAATCCTTGTCTCGCCAAGTTTCCGTTCCCATCCATGACACAAGGGAGGACTGTACTAGAGTTGCGATATCCATACTGGAACAACTAGATATTGCGAGAAGGCAGCCAGGCCTTACTAACGTCAACTCAGCAACCACGGATGCGTGCCAACGGCTACTGACCATACTAGTCTGTCCATGTTCCGAGAAGCCAGGTGTAGCGCTGCTCGTGGCTTGCGCATGCATTTCTCTCATGGACACGGTTCACCACTGCCACGCATCTCAAACCGCAACAATTCCAGATCTTTCGGCCAGCACCACAACCACACCTGGTACCGAGAAGGACATATCGAATTGGCCAAGGGCTTCATCTTCGCACAATAGCCAAGGTAGTGTGGAACAGTTAGCAAAGATTGCCAGACTCATCTTGCAATTCACAGATAGATATGCTCAAGAACCAAAAGGTGGAAACGGTTGGGCGCAGACAACCTGGTTGGTTGCGCCGATTGCAGCGTTACTTCGATTTAGATTACAATCTGTCACGCATCAGGCGGCGAGACGTTTGGTCTTCTGATTAGTCGCAATCAAATATTCGAATGCTCACAAACGAAGGCGTTTAATTACAAAATACAATGTACTTATATGACGGCAGAGAGAGTGCAGAGGCTATAGCATATACTCGGAGAGGCATGCCTACACACGCTGCATTCTCAAGGATGTGCAACAGCTATGTTAATGTATCATGATAGATCGATGATAAAGTTCTGATCTTATGTTACCTCTTTTCCAACAATCTTTGTATTTCTATTATGGCCAGCCCTTTGCTATCAAATGTTAATGGCTAAGGAACTACCTTGTAGCTAAGACAGGTAATCTGTGAAGACTAAGAACTAGATATGTGCAAAGGGACTAATTTTGATAACAGGTACAAATCTTTTAATTCCAATTGCACCAAATTGGACATCGGGGGAGAACACAATGCTCTGCTAGCGATGGACATCATATACATATTATTTTCCTTCATGCTATCTTACACTGTCTTACTTTGTAAACATGCTAATGAACTTTGTTCCTTTTCATTTATGATATCGATGAAATCATCATTCTCTTGACCAGTGACAACTAAGAGGAGAAATGTTGTAGTAGGTCTCTCAATATTCGACAGATAGCCATAAAGAGCAATCTCTGTTTTGATATTGAGCGACGTATTAAGCCATAGGGCTAGAGTTAATCGTTAGATGAGTGGAGATGTGTTTGGTGTCCTAGGTCCGATATAAGGTACTTTTATTCGCGGGTGACCGGTCCCGTCACCAACTCCGTTTCATCGTTGCCGGAGCCTTCTTTCTTCTCAGATTCGTCGAGTCCAAATTCCGTGACTAATTCTTGTCGAAGAGGGACCTCACGGATGAATAAAGCGATAGGGACGGCGACAACAGCAAATGCTATAAGCACCTGCCACGATTCCTTGATGCCCTCAGTATATACGTGAACTAGCTCTTGTTTCAGCGTGCCATTGAAAGAAGACATGAAGTCTGCCGTCGCGTGCTGATATGCGCCGCCTCGCTTCATGATTTCTCGGGTCGCCGGGTCACTTATTGTATCGAGAAGATTGTCGACGCGAGAGTTGAATACAGCCGACGGGATGGCCGCGCCCCAGATGGAGCCGAAGCTGCGTACAAAAGCCCAGGACGCTGTAGCGACAGCAACATCAGATTCCGCCAGTGGCGCCTGCACAGCTGGCAATGTTGCCGTTAAGGCCAGTCCTCCGCCAACACCAGCAATTATCTGAAAGATGACCCATTTTGCTGTGGACGAATGCGAATCCAGGATCGTGAGACAGCCGACACCAATGGAAAGCAGGGCGTAGCCTGCCACCATTGTTGGCTTATAACGGCCAGTTTTGGCGATCGTTAACCCCCCGGCTATGCCAGCTGGCATCAAGGGAATCACAATTGCTAGCAAGTTCACGCCAGATTTGAGGGGACTGGCCTCGAGAAGAACCTGGAAGTAGACTGGGAGGAAGAAACTGAGCCAGCTCATCTCAATGCCATGGAGGAATGTTAGTATGTAAGCAAGCAGCGAAACACTGTTGCTATAGACTCGGATAGGCATCGTCGCCTCGACCGCTAGGTATTTCTGGTGGAAATAGAATAGCACAAGTCCTGCGACTCCAATTAGGAGCGGAACAAGAACATTGTATGAATCCCATGCATAAAGTGTACCGCCCCAAGTTAGAGCAATCAGAATTGACACGACAGCGCTCATCAAGAGCGCATTTCCGGGCAAATCGACACGTCTTAGACGGGCGAGCAGCGTGCCTTCACGCTTATAATGAACGCGGAGGAACAGAAAGACGAGCAACAAGGCTGTTCCACCGATCGGCAGATTGATGTAAAACACCCAGCGCCACGAGATATCCGTGACAATAACGCCACCAATAATGGGCCCAATGAAGGTACCCAAAGCGAATGTGGCCATTATAACGGACATGTATTTTTGCCTATCGCGCAGAGCGACCAGATCTGCCACGATAATGTCAACCATGACGAACAAACCGCCTCCTCCAATTCCCTGTACTAGTCGAGCGGCAATTAACATTGGGGTATCTTTGGCTCCGCCGCAGAGTCCGCTGCCGAGTGTGAAGAGGGAGATGGACACAAGCATGGGGATGCGGCGTCCAAAGATGTCCGAGGCTTGACCGAAGAGGGGCTGTACCGCAGCCGTCGCCAGGAAATAACCATTGATGATCCATATATACAAGGCTCCTGAATTGAGGTCGGCAGATATAGTTGGCAGCGATGTTGCGACGATCGAAGTATCGAGGCCGGCAAGCAAGATGGCAAAGCATAGGCCAGGGAAGATGGCCCAAAATCGCCAACTGTGTTTTGGCTTTGACTCGACAGGGACGATTTGGGCATTATTAGACGCCATGGCCTGATCTTGACCGTCCGGAGGCATTGTTCACAAGTCGTCCTGGCAGAGCTGTGGCATGAGAAAATTCTCTGGCGACGAACGCAGGTTTAGGCATGTAAAGGAGTGACGGGCAAATGCGGAAGAGGTAAATCAGCCTGAGGCAGCGATGAGGGAGGAAGTGCAAAATACAACGCAAAAGTACACACTCTGAGACTCCCAAGAAAGTGTGTAGGCTCTGTAACAGTTGGCTGTTGGTTAATCTTGAACGAGGGTTACATCAATGTGTACATTGACTACTAGTCTACTACCCTCTGTCACATCGGCCCTGGCTTTGTCCACTAATACCTGTCAAAGAGACTTTACATAACCAAGCTGAACTAACTTGACTCGTTTACTCGCTGTATTTCATTTTGGATTTGATTAGACAACTCGAAGCCATGAACTCCATAGCGGGCCGGGATATGCATGCTGACCACCCAAGCGGTTGTAAAAAAGCAGGGACCACAAACTAGCCAACATGTGTTTACATGAGAATACGACCATCATGCTAGATGGGTTTAGTGTAGTGGGTATGCGCGGGTTGCCTGTTCCAGTATGCTCCAATTCTCGAAGTCCCTCTTTTTTTTTCTACGCCCCTTGCTATCGTAGGGTAAGACCTTGCGAGCATCTACCTTGAGAGGTCATGAGGTTGATGAGTGCCCTTGGCGTGTGGCTCTCAAAGGCTTCATACCTTGTAAATCATTCGGATGCAAGCTAGTTGCCAATGAGAGCAAAAAGAGTGGCTTAACAGGTATATACTCGACATCTCTACGATTGGCAAGGGGTTTGTGTGTTTAAATATTCTAAGACGATGTCAAGCAACAAGTCAGAAATTCTACCAAGGCAGTCCACCGATCCATACTTAGGGCTTAGTAGTAATGAATTGCATCAAAAAGGCTATTATTTTTTTTTTTTAAAAAAACTTGTTTTATTGTAGTGGGAGTTGCACTTGCGTATTATTCCATTATGCTAGTGGTTACATCGGATATAACGTACAATAGACTATATTTACCCTTCCGTTGAGTCTTTTCTCTTAGTCGACATGATTTTCAGTTTTTGGACTCATTCACCACTACGTAGACTCTCGTCGTGCCACTCGCAGAGGCGTCGCTGTTGCTGGATGATAACCCGAGAAATAGTCATTAAACACTAGATCGCTAGGCTTGGTGCCCCGAATCTCAAGATCGGTAAAGTTGCGGAAGACAGTCGCGACCGTGACGTATAACTCACAGTATGCCAAACTAATCAATGAACCCAGGTTAACCTAAAAGCAAGGGCCGAATAGAGAGAACAAGATAAACTTACGGCATGCCAATGCACTGTCGACTGTCCTTTCCAAACGCTACCAGATACTTGTGCTGCTTACTTGATCCTTCTGGATCTAGCCATCGCTCGGGGTCGAATTTATCAGGGTCTGGGAAGGCAGACGTGCTTCGGTGCATCATCCAACTTGACATACCAACCGTGGTCTAGAATTTTTTTTTCTTAGAGCGACTTATTTTGATCATGGGACTCACGTACTTACACCAGCTGGAAGAAAATAACCGTTGAAGTTGGCGCCCCCCGCAGGGACTACACGTGGTAGCCTTCCGATGACTCCGTACGCCAAGCGGAGCGACTCTTTTATAACTGCTGTCTATGCTCAGAAAACAAAGGTCGCATTAGTCTGAAAAGTCCAAAGATGACAAAACCTCATTTGGGTCACTTGAAACGACAATTCTCACCAAATATGGTAGCTTTTCTAATGTTATCCATTTCATTTCTTGCGTATCGTCCGGATAAGCTTCCAAAAGCTCTGCTCGCAACCGATGATATATGTCGGGGTTGTTGATAACGTTATATGACAGAATGCCCAGTGTATTGCTTGTTGCGGCTGCAGCTGCTACAACAATCGATAAAGCAATGTCGGTCATATCATCAACGGTTCGATTGGGATCTGCTAACAGCAGTTCGTGGAAAATAGACCTCTTTTGAGATTTTTCTCGCTGAGATAGAGTCTGCGTCTTCACATTGGTGATATTCTGACGGACTCCCTATCTTTGGGTGAATAGGAAGCAAATATTGAAAATCACAGGTAATAAAACACTCTTACCTTGACTAACTTGTTATACTCTTTGAGTGCAGGACTCAACGCAGACGAGATCCAGGTTGGTAGGGATAGAGCCAATGCTTCAATGGTTTTGAACTGCATAAAGAACCAAAAAGATGTCAAAAGGCCGAGAACCATATCTGAGAAATCCCGACCATAGCCTTCCTTCTCCAAGGTGTTATAGCAGTCATCAAACGAGTAATCGCTGGCCACGTCTATGCTGATGGCACTGTAGAGATCTTGAAGTTCAACGAACCCACCAGGTGTTTTGCTAGCCTGATCTAGGTCTTTGCGTAGCTTTGAAAGCAGGATTTTCGCCTTCTCTTGAACTACAGGTTCCAACTCCAGGACACCTTTTCGAGAGAAGAATGGGTTCACTGGAGCACGTCGTTTTGCGTGCTCTCGGTTGTCAGCCGCTGTGAAGAATGAACCAGGAGCTTGAAAAACATGATAATAAGCATCTGGCTTCCCATATTTGGTTCCTACATGATAGATGGTACTGTAATTCTCGGGGTCACTAAGAGAGATTTCGTCTGGCGTAATGCGAACTACAGGGCCATATTTCGCGTGGAGGCTCTCGACCTTTTGGTAAAAGCGACTCTGATTATTGTAATAGCTGTAAAAGGTCTGATAAAATTGCGTTATAGCTGCTAGTTTTGGTCCCGGGATCCTCGCTAACGGGTGAAAGGTGAGTCGATAGGTGGCCACGACAACTGCCCAGGTTACAAGAAGCAGAGGAAGGAAGAGAACCAGCGGGATTGCCATATCTGCCGACGAGGGAGCAGCGAGGTGCTTCAATTGTTCAGCATGTAGAAGAATAAATAATACCGCACGCAGTTGCGGTCTCTTTGAGATTATTATTGCGAACCATGTAGGCTTTCAGCTTTTAGTTGTTGCTGCTGGAGCACATGGCGAAACTGAACTGTGGATCTCTCTTTAAAAGGTACAATACGGAGTAGTGTTACCCAGCATCCCTAAAGAGCTACACAATAGCCTATTGCAGATCCAGATTCGTGTCTGGCAGGCGCTACATACAAATGCTCCGCATATTGGGTCAGATTGTGGAGGAATATTCAGGCCAAACATTCGAGGAATCCTGAATTAGCGCAAGGCAAGGGTTCTGATCCATCAGGCATACCACACACCATCTGACGGGGGATTCGGGAGGATCAGTCCGCGGCCCGCAATTGGCCGAGCATGGCCTACGAATCAGGCTCATATCAGCTCAGTCTCACTCAAATGTCGATCTGGATGATGTTGGTTGTCAATTTGGGCAGCGACGACTTGTAAGTGTGCGTTATGCAGTCTTACAACAAATTACCCGTTGACACATCCTACAACGTAATCGGACTCAATCTGGAGTTGGAAATCTATACGAGAGGTTGCTTCGCAAACGCCCTGAAGCGTTGTTAGACACCACCTCCTTGATTTCATCCGGAATGTTCATATCCGTGTCTACGTTACATCGGTAAGATCTTACACACGGGGTTGTACCTTCACCATCCGCTTCTCAAACTGAAAGACAGAAAGTGTAGTCTTTGGACATCTGCTCAACGATACCACATAGGACATAACTACGATTTTCTTTGTGAGGACATTTCTAAACCAAGTGTACCAATTGTTCAGAACTAATACATCCATTCAAACCTTGACAGGAACTGACGACATCAACAATGCGTTTCCTTTGCCTTCACGGTCATGGGACCAACTCGCAAATTCTCAAGGCACAGCTTGATCCGCTACTTGCTCGCCTCCCATCAGACTGGGAATTTGAATTTCTGGATGGTGAAATGAATGCGGAGCCTGCCCCTGGTGAGTATGATTACACAACTCGCATGATTATCGGGACAACTATCTGATCGTGTCATTGTTAGGAGTTGAATCAATCTTTCCAGGCCCTTTCCTATGTTTCCATGGCGAGCCCGTCCCTGATGACGTGCAGCGCGCAGTTGACTTAGTCAAGGAGGTCGTACTTGAAGAAGGACCCTTTGATGGAGTCATTGGATTTTCGCAAGGAGCAGCGGTAGCAGCTACCGTCATTGCCCATGAAACCAAATTGAACCCCCATCAGGAGCTCTTCAAAGTTGCCATCTTTCTGTCCTCCACGGGGCCGTTTGACCTCTCTGCTGGAAGGCTACGTCTGGCGTATGAAGGCACTGTTGATGACCTTAAGATTGACCATTATGATGCCCTGGAAGACGGATCTCCGGTTCCTGATGATGGCACTGATTGGAAGACTGACTACCGGTCGATTGGTGTAATTCAAGAGTTCCAGGCAAGAAGAACCCATCTGAGCGATTTGGGGCAGCAGAGTATCGACGTCCTGCTTCGCTACCATTCTTCCGTTCATGGTGTGCTTATTAACATTCCCACTGTCCATGTGGTTGGGTTTAAAGACGATTATGCGGATCAGGGACGGGATCTAGCAGCCATTTGTGACCCTAAAATCTCGCAGGTTGTGACTCACGATGGCGGCCATCAATTACCCAGGGACTTACGGACGGTTACCAAAACTGCGGAAGCCATACAATGGGCCGTGGATCGCATGCTCTTCCACAACTAGTCTAAACGCTATTGTCTTGAGTAAAGACTTATTATATTAGATGTTTGTGTTATGCAACATTAGAGTGCTCTGAAATTGTTGATTCGTCTTGAACTTAATAGGAAATGTATGTACAGTTCTTGTGAGATGAGTCCTATTAAAGTTTCGTTTCCAAGATATTCAGTCAACTGGTGGCTAAAGAACCTTTCTCATTAGGCATGGGAGGGTCTTCAAAATTATTTCCGGCTATCTATTGGTTCCACTTTTTATAGCCACCAAGGATTCTTTGCATCTGGCCGGTTACCTGCTCCGAGTACGTATTTCTCTTTTTAGCGGCTAATATGTAATCTTCATCCCTGTTGAAATGGATGATTATGGATGGTACATGTCAGAATTGATAGAATGAATGAATACGCTCTCCTAACAGGGGCTGAAGAAAACCCCACTTGCGTAAATGAAGTAGACGCCTTCCTCTAACATCTGTTGGCTCATTGAGCGAGACTTTGCAGAAGGATCAAAGGCGATATCACGCCACTGTGAAGAACTCATGATCGCCGTAGGATTCATCTACGCATCTACGCACACCTCGGCCCGCCGCCGCCGAGATGACACTTTCAGGGTTAAAAGGTATTGATGCTAGTTAAAGTCAGTGCTTCAGAGGCTTAGCGGTGCTATATCTCAAGAGGGATTAACTAGCAGCTGCCCAGCATAACTCAGCAACTAGTAGACTTTAAATGTGTTTTTAAAAGTTGTCAAATAAGATGGCTTGATGTATGCTGAGTTGTGAAGTTGTTGATGCGACTCTTGAGCTAGGTGTTATCTGTTGAGAATACGCCCAAGTTGTTCTTAGACACCAGTTTGTTACCGCTTATAAAACGAAAGGTTTAAACTGGATCTAATTGAGCATTCAGCTCACTGGTCCATCCACCATCCTTGCTCAGTAGGCTTATCCTTAAGAAAGTAAAACCCAGGTCAAAGAGCATGCCCCTGTCGGTAATCATGCATGGTCAGCTTCCTTTGGTATCTATCGTTTCATTTATGAGCATTTATGAGCATTCACGAGATGTGGAGTACCCCGCCGCATCCCGTGAAGTAATGAGTTGGTTGTTGTTTTTTAAACGGATTGGGATACGCCGAAACGCATCAAAGAGAATTCGTTGTTGCGGAGAATGAGGTACGTAACACTTCTACAATAATAAATCGCCAGGATTGCGGGTAACGGCTTGGATTCGACCTATTTTCTTACCCACATTCATCAGCCTGTTTCTCGGACTTGCAATTGCGGATGTAGACTGTGTGGCTGTCTTCTACGAGGTGCCTCGAGAGAACACACATATAATACATAGTGCCTCTGAATCTACAGGTAGTCACGCTCATTTACAAACTAAGAGAATATCCTGTTCATTGATCTCAACTGGGACCCTAATTCTTCTGCCTTTTTTTTGGTTTCTCTAAAGCATGTCTTCTTATAAGGATGCCACCAACATGGCCGTGGAGGATGCTGTGATGCCCATTGCCATTGTTGGCATTGGTGGTAGGTTTCCAGGAGAGGCCACAAACCCTGATCGATTATGGGAGATGATCTCAAATGGCCGCAATGCACTCTCTGAAGTGCCAAAGGAGCGGTTCAATATCGATGCGTTCTATCACCCCTATGCCGAAAGGCAAGGTACAATGAATGTCCGAGGAGGACACTTCCTCAAGGAAGATGTTTCTCTTTTTGACGCTCCATTCTTTTCTATCACAGCTAAAGAGGCCCATGCTATGGATCCTCAACAAAGACTTGCACTAGAAGTTGCATACGAAGCTCTTGAAAATGGTATGTCTGTCTACTCCAAGTCCTAGTTTTAATCCTGTCTCTAATAAACCTTTAGCTGGCATGAAAATGGAAGATGTACTAGGCTCTCAAATGGCCTGCTATATGGCGTCTTTCACAAGAGACTATGCAACGCTACGAGGCCATGACGCAGAAGATATCCCGTGAGCAATGAGACTTCTCCCATCAGCCCACGAGTACATCTCAGCTAATATCTTTATAGGATGTACGAAGGCACTGGCAATGGTTCTGCCATGATATCGAACCGTCTATCTTGGTTTTTTGACTTGAAGGGGCCCAGTCTCAGTTTAGATACTGCCTGCTCTTCTTCATTAGTTGCGCTACACCTTGCATGCCAGAGCATCCGTTCTGGAGAGACAAGATCTGTAAGAAAAATAGCGTGTATTGTCCAAGGAGTTATGCTAACCAAACTGAAATTAGGCCATGGTCGGAGGCACAAATCTAATACTTATGCCAGAAATGCAGATTGCCATGACATCTCTGCATTTCCTTAGCCCTGATAGCAAATCTCAGTCATTTGATCACAAGGCAAATGGCTACGCGCGTGGTGAAGGCGCCACAGTCGTTGTGATTAAGGCCCTGGAAGATGCTCTGCGGGATGGTGATACAATCAGAGCCGTAATTCGAGGCACAGGAGTCAACCAAGACGGAAAGACTCCAGGAATTACGTTGCCTTCGGCAAAGGCACAGGAGGACCTCATCAGATACACATACAAAACCGCGGGACTACCATTTGAAGAGACAGGCTATTTTGAGGCTCACGGTACTGGTAAGTTAATTAACATTTCTATCCTACTTTATTTGTATTAGTTAATAATAGTAATTCTCAACAGGTACCGCGGCAGGTGATCCTCTCGAATGTGCTGCCATTGCTGCCACGATCGGAGCAACCAGGCCTAAGGATAGCCCTCTCCTAATAGGATCAGTCAAAACAAACATTGGCCACATGGAAGGAGCCAGCGGTCTAGCCGGACTGATCAAGGCTGTGTTTGCACTGGAACGGGCGTTGATCCCCCCAAACCTCTGGTTTGAAAAAGCGAACCCCCGTATCCCATTGGAGAAATGGGGCCTCGAGGTGTCAACAAAGCTTCAGCCTTGGAGAGAGAGCGGTCTTCGCCGCGCCAGTATCAATTCTTTTGGATACGGCGGCACTAATGCTCATTGCATTCTAGATGATGCTTATCACTATCTAGAAGCCCGAGGCCTAAATGGGGCACACAACACTCTTGTATCTCCGGAACCATTGTCAGAAGAGAGTGCAAGCTCTGAAGACAGTAGCAGCAGCAACAGTGATGCTGGTGAGGCTACTGATAGTAGCTCAGCCACGTCTGAGTCCATCAGTGGCGAAGAGAAACCGGTAGATATCTCGTCGCCCAAACTGTTCATGTGGTCATCACACGAGCAAGCTGGTATCGAACGCACAGCAACACAATTGCTCAAGCATCTAGAGTCACAGCAGAGAACGGACATCAACTTCCTCGGCAATCTGTCCCATACTCTGGCTGCTGGTCGATCTAGACTCTCTTGGAAGGCGTACACTGTTGCATCATCTACCGAAGAGCTCATCTCGGCCCTGAAGAAGAGCCCTAAGCCGGTGCGATCATCTCAAACTCCTGTCTTGTACTTCGTCTTCACCGGCCAGGGAGCGCAGTGGTTCGCCATGGGTCGTGAACTGCTGGCATATAACTCTTTTAGGAAGAGCTTGCAAGATGCGACCGACTACTTCAAGAGTATCGGGAGCGATTGGGACCTTCTTGGTAAGTGAATCCGGCTGATGCATTTTTGCATTTTTTCTTGTTTCAGTCTAATAATCTTAATTTTGCATATACAGAGGAACTACAAAAGAGTGAGAAAGCTTCACGAATTAACGAGTCGCGAATTAGCCAGCCGGCCTGTACTGCCTTGCAAGTCGCCGTGACTGACCTTTTGGCGGAGTGGGATATTCGCCCTTCAGTGGTTCTCGGACATTCCAGTGGAGAGATTGCAGTGAGTTTGATAACATGAGTATGCTCTGGCTATCGTCAAATACTAATCATCAATGTTGTCAAGGCCGCATATGCCAAAGGCGCTTTCACCAGGGATGAAGCTTGGAAAATCGCCTTTCACCGTGGTAGCCTGTCTAGCGGCATAGAAAAAGAAGGCTCTATGCTTGCTGTCGGACTTGGAGAGACTGAAGTTGCGCCCTACCTGGCACAAGTCGACGCCAAACACGGCAGTGTTGTTGTTGCTTGCATTAACAGCCCTTCAAGCGTGACCCTATCTGGAGACTCGGCAGCAATAATCCAAGTTCAAAATGCACTTGAAGAAGCAAAAGTCTTTAACCGAAGGCTCGCTGTCAAGACGGCCTATCACTCCCCTCATATGGAGTTGATTGCAAAAGACTACTTGCAGTCATTGAACAGTTTGCGTCCATCTGAGTCCTCTAGCAAGACTGTCATGTTCTCCAGTGTCACAGGCAAGGTGATTGACAACGCTGCACTTGCCGCCTCCTCATACTGGGTGTCAAACATGGTCAGTCCGGTGCGGTTCAGCCAGGCCGTGGAGGCTGCTATCGAGTACAACCCGACTAAGAAGCGCACTGCTGGTAGCTCTCAGTTTGTTGATCTCATCGTCGAGATTGGCCCGCACTCAGCACTTCAAGGCCCTTTGAAGCAGATCTTAGATGCGAACCGGTCCAAACTGAAGCATGACGTCCCGTATATCTCAGTTATCTCGCGCAATGTGGACGCTGTGAGAAGCTGCCTCGATGCCATTGGAAAGCTGGCCCAACGAGGCCACCCCGTGGACATTTCTCGCGTGCATGTAATGACGGAAAATGAGAGTCAACGACCTCAATTCCTTACCAACTTGCCCCCATTTGCCTGGAATCATTCCACAAAGTACTGGTACGAATCTGCTGTCTCGGCAGCGTTCCGTCACCGAAAGCTTCCTCGATACGATCTCGTCGGAGCACTCAGCGAGCATTCTACTGACGTTGAGCCTTGCTGGACGAACTATCTACGTGTCTCAGAGGCCCCTTGGATTGAACATCACAAAGTCCAGGGTACGATCCTGTATCCATTGTCAGGCATGATGGTCATGGCTATCGAAGCTGCTCGCCAGATTGCAGACCACACCAAGGAAATCGACGGATTCCAGATTCGTGATGTCTCTGTTGGTAAAGCCATGGTCCTAGCTAGTGACGCTCCCACCGAGACGAGACTTCAATTCCGACCACGTAGAGCAGGTACTCGCCTTCCAGATGCTTTCTGGAATGAATTCACCATCTCGTGTAGGAGTCGATCTGGTGTTTGGACTCAGCACTGCACGGGTCTTATCGCTGTCAAGTATGTGGCAGAACACAATCCGACATTCCATAATGAAGAGGAAGCGTCATCGCGTCGACATCGCGCAGAGTACGAAAGACTATCCACCGCAGGATTCAAGCCTGATGATCCCCGCCAGGTTTATGCCTCAGTATGTCTGCCCCCGTCTAAACTAACTTATTGGGAAAAAACGTCATACTAATCTTCTATATAGCTTGCCGAACTTGGACTCCAGTGGGGACCGACATTCACTGGTCTGGTGCACATCAGTTCTGGTGATTTTGAAGCTCACTGTGAACTTGAAATCCCAGATACTAGGAAGTTCATGCCAGAAGGCTTCGAGTATCCTCACGTTATTCACCCAGCTGCACTGGACAACTTCATTCAAATGGTTATTCCGGCCTGTACACCTGCTGGAGTGCAACTAGAGAAAGCCAAGATTCCTCGATTTATCGAAAGCATTTACATCTCCAGCAAGATTAGCTCCAAGCCAGGTACTCGGTACTATGGTTACTCAAAGTCTAAGCCATACGGCTACAATGAGTCTGTTGGAACGATTGTCGCATCTGACGAAGCCTGGGAGAAGCCTATGGTCATCATCGAGGGCTGCAGAATTATCTCTCTCGAGAACATGACAGATGGCCTCTCTACCGAGTCGGCAGCAACAACTACGTCCCTGAGAAAGCTTGGTGCTCACACAGAATGGGATATTGACTTAGAGCAGATGTCCTTGGATACTGCCCAAGCATTTTTCGCTCCTTACGGCGCCACCATTCCCGACGCAGATGTTGATGTTGTTCGTGATTTGGAGCTGGCATCATTCATCTTCTGCAAGAGGGTGCTTAGTCGATTCTCTGAGGAAGATTCCAAGAGCTTCGCGCCACATCACCGTATCTTCTACGAGTACATGCGGCACAGATATGAACTTGCAGAGCAGGGCAAACTCGACTGCCAAACGGTCGGGAAGGATTCGGTCGACTGGCTGAATATGACCAAAGAACAAGAAGACCAAGTTCTGGCGCGTGTAGCTGAAGCATCAGTTGATGGAAAGCTCCTTTGCCAACAGGGTTTCCACTTTGACGAGATCTTGCGCGGCGAGCTCGAACCTCTCCAGGTCTTGATGCAGGATAGTCTCCTGACACACTATTACCGAAATGCCTTAGGAACTGACAAATGGAACCCGATTATTGCCAAATATGTCCAACTCAAGTCGCATAAGAAGCCCCTCCGAATTCTCGAGGTCGGCGCGGGTACGGGGGGTACCACCTCGGTCATTCTCGCAGCCCTGGGCCAGCGGGAGGAGGCTGCCGCCAGGCTTGAGTCTTACACATTCACTGACATTAGTGGTGGTTTCTTTGGTGCTGCTGCCGCTGATTTTGACGAATGGGCTCCATTTTTGGAGTATAAGGTGCTCGATATTGAGAAGTCCCCAGTGCAGCAAGGCATCCAAACTGGCGTTTACGACATGGTTGTGGCCAACAATGTTTTGCATGCAACCTCAGCTATTAGCACGACTCTGGCTCACTGCAGAGAGTTACTGAAGCCGTAAGTGTATTAGATTTCCTCCGACTGATAACCTGTTTATTAACAATTTGGTAACTTAGGGGTGGTATTTTGTTGCTCGGAGAGCTCACCACTACCCTGGCAAGAGTTCCTATGATCTTTGGATCTCTCCCTGGATGGTGGGCAGGTATGTATTAATGGCGACTCGATTTCGCTATTTCACCCATTTGGCTAACAGAACAAATTAGGTGAGAATGATGGCCGAAAATGGGGCCCCAGACTCTCAGAAGGGCTGTGGGACACTCGACTCCGTGAACAGGGCTTCAGCGGCGTCGATTTGACATTCCGGGATCACAGTACTGAGCACTACTCGATTTCACTTATGTTTTCGACTGCTAGTCCCTTACCTGAACCGGAGCTTCCTAGAAGCATTACGGTTGTCACGCCTTCAAGCCCGAGCACCGCTACCAAGGCACTGGCCTCGAAACTGGTGGCAAAGTATTCACCTGTGGCCAATGTTGTTGTCAAGTCTCTTGGAGCAATCCCTAGTTTCGATCTGAGCAATGAGACGACACTTTCCTTGCTTGAAGCTGAGACGCCTCTTTTGCAAGACATTAGCAGCGTAGACTTTGAAGCCGTTAAACATCTCCTTCTTACCTCTCAGCACACCCTCTGGTTTACTAGAGGAGGTGCTTTAGAGACTCCCAATCCTGGGGCCAACTTGATTGCAGGATTGGCACGAACAATAAGAGGAGAGATTCCGAGCATGTTGCTAACCACATTGGATCTGGACCCGTCTGATGCCATCGACTCTGTTGACTCATTGTCTGGAATCGACAAGGTGCTCCGTTCCATGACACAGGCGAGCCAAATTGAGCGTCCGGACTGGGAGTACGCACTCCAAGGAGGACAGCTTCACGTCTTACGTCTGACACCCAACAAGGCAGTCAATGCAATGTTCGAGGCTAGCAAGACTGAGCAGTCCGTCTCCATGCTCCCATTCAACCAACCAGGACGTGCGCTTGCTCTGGCAATCAAGACGCCTGGTATGCTGGACACATTCCAATTTGTTGATGATGAGGAACATCCAAAACCTTTGAAGAGTCATGAAGTTGAGATTGAGGTCAAGGCTGTTGGCATGAATTTCCACGACGTCATGATTTCGATGGGTCAGATTGCTGATACCGATCTGGGAGTTGAATGCAGCGGTGTCGTTACTCGTGTTGGTGATGGCGTCACCAAGTACAAGCCAGGTGATCGTGTCATCACATTCCGTTTGGGTTGTTTCCGTACTTTCTTACGCAACCCCGAAGGCATGTTTGAAAAGATTCCTGACGCTTTATCCTTTGACGACGCTGCTTCAATTCCTTGCGTATACTCCACGGTGTATTACTCGCTGTTCTATGTGGCTCGCTTGGAGCGCCACGAGACTATCCTTATTCATGCTGCCGCTGGTGGTCTAGGACAAGCCGCAATTATCCTTGCACAGCACATCGGTGCCGAGATCTTTGTTACAGTGTCTTCGGAAACCAAGAAGCAGTTCCTCATCGACACATACGGCATTCTACCTGACCATGTTTTCAACAGCCGAGACCACAGCTTTGCAGCTGGAATCAAGCGTATGACCAATCAGAAGGGCGTGGATGTTGTTTTGAACTCATTGGCTGGTGAGGCTCTGCGACAGACTTGGCTTTGCGTGGCACCTTTCGGCCGCTTTATTGAGCTCGGTAAGAAGGATATTGGTAAGTTTATATCCTTCATGAATTACGTATCGATTATTAACCCAAGCTATAGTTGGAAATACCGGTATCGATATGAGCAAATTCATGGACAACATTGCTTTTGTCGGTGTTAACATGCTTTCGGTTTATCGTGACAATATTCCATTGTTCGGTCGGATCATGGCCGACGTCATGAAAGCTCTGGCTGATGGCATCATCCGGCCGGTGCAGCCGTTGAGGGTCATGAACTTTTCGCAGATTGAAGAGGCTTTCCGTATTATGCAATCCGGAAAGCACATTGGCAAGATGGTTCTTAGCGCTGGACCTGAGGATCTTGTTCCGGTATGTAAACATATAAGGTCCGACTTTGAACAAAGCTGGGGTGCTAATAGGCAACGCGTATAGATTGTTTCTCAGAAGAGCAAGCCATACTCCTTCTCTCAGGATGCGACGTACATGATTCCAGGAGGTCTCGGCGGTCTTGGTCGTTCGATCGCCGCCTGGATGGTTGACCAAGGCGCACGACATGTTGTTTTCACAAGCCGCTCCGGGGTCACAAAGCCGCCAGCTCGCAAGCTGGTGGATGAATTGACCAAGAAGGGGGCAAAGATTCTCGCATTCGCGTGCGATATCAGCAATGCCTCCGAGCTCAAGGACGTACTCAAGACTGTCAAAGACAACGAGTTTCCCCATATCAAGGGCGTCGTTAACTGCGCTATGCAGCTTCAGGTAAATAATTTGACTTAGTATGCACTGAATATTTGGAGGACAGAGGTGCTAATCAATATGTAGGACGTGTTATTCGAGAACATGAGCCTTGAGGACTTCAATGCTGCTATCAGGCCCAAGGTTTACACCACCAAGAATTTGCACGATCTTCTACCGAGAGACATGGATTTCTTTATCTGTCTTTCGTCGACTGGAGGCATTGTTGGATCTCGTGGCCAAGGGAATTACAACGCAGGTGGGTTACAGAGCAGTGCTATCTGCCAATAATTTTGAACCCGGATTTTGAGAATGACATGTGCTGATATACTCATCTAGGCAATACCTATCAAGACGCGATGGCCCATTATAGGAGATCTCAGGGTCTACCGGCAACCAGTATCAATCTCGGCGTCGTACTTGGTGTAGGTATTACAGCTGAACGTGGAGAGATTCTGTCGTACCTTAAGACGGGAGCCATGATTGGTATCCACGAGCAAGAAGTCCTGGCTGTCGTCCAAGCCGCCATGTCTGGGGAAATGCCAATTCAAGCCGTCGTTGGTCTTGCAACTGGTGGCCACCTCGAAAAGAATGGACACGAGGATCCGTTCTGGTTCAGCGAGGCACGATTCGGGCCTCTCCGCATCTTTGACACCCAGCAGCTACAGGCAAGCAGAGCAGGCGACTCGGGTGACTCCGGCGCTGATCTCCAGGCCGTGTTGCGAGGAGCAAGCACTCTAGCGGAGGCAGCAGATGCGGTTTGTGTGGCTCTTGTGCGCAAGCTAGCCAAGGCCATGATGGTGGAGATTGAAGACCTTGATCCAACTAGGCCCGCGAACTCTTATGGTGTCGACAGTCTGGTCGCTGTTGAGGTCCGCGCCTGGGTCTTCAAGGAAGTAAAGAGCGACGTTTCTGTGTTTGACATTTTGAGCAACATGCCCTTGGCGTCTCTGGCTACCAAGATTGCTGCAAAGTCGTCCCTTTTGCCTCCCACAATCTCGGGTACGGACGATGACGCATAAATTGTATCCAGCTACAAGTATGTCATGGTGTTTGGATGATATATATATTCGTATGCTAAATATGGTACCAAGTATGTTCGTATATAGTATACGCCTATGAGCATTTGCAAGCAACATGACGAAAATTGTGTTTCGTGTTTCATTAGTGTTTAGCTTCGTCGATCTATAGCATCATCAGCTTATCAATATAGCAACAACGCCTATTGCTCTCTTCTCAACAGGTCCACTATAAGCTTATTATTAAGAATCACTTTTTAAACCAGTAGCATGCGCTACAACTTTTCGACATCAATGGCGGTGTATTTCTCGCTTTATTTATATAATCTGCATAGGACTCGTGGTCTCCTGACGGTAACTTCACCTTACAAGGCTACTTTAACCCATTTGTGAACTTTAAGCTCCAAATGCAGGGTTTCCATTAACGTATCGCGGGAACCCCTTCATACCAAACCCAAGATCACCACCTGGCTCGCCCTTGTTCCAAATTTCGTCCTTGCGTTTCTTGAGTTGATCGACATCCCAAGCAGCAAATACAAGCTTGCCGTGAAGGAAGGCTGCCTCGGGCGAGGCGACCCAGACAAGGAAATCAGATGGCAGAGAAACTAAGCAAAAAAAGAAAAGAGGCATGTCAGTTTCATCATATCTCTAAGATAGATCGTTACGATAGGTACTTACTGTCATCTTCTGGGAGTTTCAAGTCTACCTTCTCTGCTAGCTGCCTAGACATTGCAGTATTGATGACCCCAGGGTGTACTTGGTGAAGTCGTACGTGTTCATTCTCCACTGCAAAGCTCTCTAGAAGCTTGAAAGCGGCCATCTTGCTGCTCACATAGGCGCCCATTTTTGGGTAAGGAGTGTAAAAAATGCCCGCAGAGGTTAAATTGATAAAAGTGAAGATCTTTTTCGCGAGTTTCTTGGTCCCGTCGGGGTCCGCGCCCTTGTCTTCTTCGGGTTCCGCGACGGGTTTTGGGTTAACCTCACGGAAAGCCATCGCGACTGCTAGCGTTCCGACGACAGTTGTCTTGTAGTTATCGAGAAATGATTCAGGCTTGGCATTAATGAGGAGATCAGGGTCAGGCAAGATCCCAGCAGCGTGAACTAAGATGTCAATGCGGCCAAACTCCGATGCGACAAGCCGGAATACTTCAAGAACTCTTTCGAAATCCGAAAGATCGACCAAGTGTTCCTGCACAACTAGGTCTCCATGAACCTTCCTGATAGAATTCGCGGTTTCTTTTAGGTCTTTTTCGTTGCTGCGGCCAAGGAGGATGAGAGCCTTCGGCTTAGATTTTGCAAAGGACGAGGCTGTAGCGCGGCCAATGCCACCAGAGGCTCCGGTGATCAAAACCACTTTCTCCGCAGTTGAGAGGTGGCCCAATGTGGGAGCAATGTGTGGATAGGTCTTCTTGTGAAGCGTCTCTGTGTAGGAGAAGATTGGTCGTTCTCCTGCCATTTTGTCGAAACGTGAGTTCAGTCAAGATGGTTTTGGTAAGTAAAGCGTATGAGGAACAGCAGGAAATCGAACCGATAGTTATTAAAGGACGAGTCTCAATGTAAAAGTATGGAAAGTTGGATGCCCCGAGATTGGCAACACGACTCAATCTGCCTGCTTTTATACACAAAAAACATAACGCATATACATGAACGTACGTACATGCAGCCATAGGGAAACGGCGTTGGTGGTGAAACACTGTGTGATGTAATTGTTGTTGGGAGGAATGAGCAACTCGCACCAAAATCCCCCCGTTACATCGCATTAGTTTTAGCATATGGATCCTTCGGTGTTTCTCGCAAGTGCGATGATACTCAAAAGTCCGTTGGCTCATGCATCCGGCCGCAGCCCCCAATAATGCGGATGGAATCCTTTTATCCTTCGCAATTCACGTACTTTTGTCTTACAGGAAGCGAGCCACTTCCGGTCTGCGGCTGAGCGACATTCGACAGGCATTAGCTACATGCATGCATATCAATGTCTCAGCTGAGTGGCTTGCCGCTATGTCGCGAAGACACGTACTGCGAGCTTCAAGCGATTATTACGGGAGACTGAAATCAAACGCATGTATATAGCATTAATCTCATCACATGTATGTACATAAAGACGTTCCAGATATTTTAGTGCTGCAAGTATACATGCGCCCTGCATCGCCATATTGTTCTGCATCACAAACAGAAACCTACCCCCGATACTACATTTTGCAATATACATTGTTTCAAACACCATGGAAGTCACGAGTGAACTTGATCGCGGAACTTCTCTGCCGCCCTCAGTCGCATCACTCGATCATCTAATCGATGTCGAGAGTTTTGTCGCCTCGGTTGGTGACCTCTTGAGCCCCCCTGACTTTGATACATTCGACTTCGAGAACAAAAGCCTCTCGCCGAAGTGGCTTGACGACGTCTTCTCCATAACGCCCCCATCATCTTCAGATTCTATTCCTCCACCCAATGGCGAGTACAAGAGCCTACCTTTGGAAACCAAAGCATCTTCTGCAGAACCACAGAATTGTCAAAACCAACAAGGTCTTTGCATCAGCTTAGCAACAGGACTGCTCAAGTCAATGCATTCCAGTTCTCCATCATGTCTCTTAGGCGTAGGCAGCCATGATGGCAAGCCGCAGGTGTCTCGGGCAGTGGACATTGTCTTGTCCGCCAACTACGAGGCTTTGCAGTCCATGCGGGGCTTACTCCGATGCCCCTGCTATTACACAAGCCCTCAGTTACAACTTCTTGTGACAATTGTCTGCGCTGAGACCATCGCGTGGTACTGGCGTATTATCGACACTTATAGCCACTACCGTAGCACAAATATGGATAGCGGCATCCTACCAACGGAGAGAGTCGAGATGTCGCGGCGATCTTTCTTCATTGGTGGCCAGTGCCTGGAAAGCCACTTGGAGACGAAGCTTATTAGCCAAGTTGTTTCTAGTAGGCTCCAGGAACTGGAAGATCTGATCGGAGACATTTCTTGGAACACGGAGCAATCGGCAGCCATTACTAGTGAGCCTAAAAACCATCCAATGTACAGCGCAGTACATCTTAGAATGGATGCTTTCCTCAATACTCAATTGGCTGCTGTTCAACGGGAACTATTCAACCTACAGTATGAATCCCAGAGTCATATTGAAGATACTCCTGGTCAAAGATATCACAGATCAACAGCTAGATAAAGGATTTAAGCCGAATGTTTCCCCCCTGGGTTGTAAAAAATCCGGGAAGATGCCACACACACTTGTTAGATAGAGAACTGAGGATTACAATAATTTACGCGATAGTCCACTATAGACTCAATTGAACTGTCGATCTCCAATCATAGAACCAGCATGCGACAAGTTTAACCTGAGGGTTTGAAATGCAAAATAGCCCAAGGAACCAATGTCTATGCAGGGTTACTCGGACTTTCGCGTTGAAGGAGAATAGTGATCTCCGCGCATTACTCCTTTGCCCCGGAATGCCATGTGATTTGCCTCCATTCAATATTCCAGTCAATATTCCACGAAGACAGCTGAAAGACATTTGCTCAGCTTCCCCTGCATCCTCCTCATCTCCTATCTAAAATTAGCGCCCAGCGCTTCCATAAACAGAAGGTTACTACGCGTTGGTTGGGCCAAAGTCGGGATCCGAGGATCCCTGTAACTTACATACGATGATGGGGCGAAGTTAATAGGGCGAAAACTTGGGTCACGAAGGCATCGCTGGATTCAGGATTACATCTAGCAGTCTGCGCCGGAACAGCCGCTGACATAGCCTTTTGAGGCTTCACGTAGGCCCTCAATATTGCCTCTCTATTTTTTCCATCGGAATCCGTGTCGTGTGCTGTTGATGCCGACATCCCGACTAACATCACACCAGCATCAATACGGGGGATCAAGAGTGCCCCCAAGGCGTCTAAACCCTGCCACAAACAGGCTACGAGGCTCTTTGTAGTTAGGATAACCGCGTCTATTTTCATCACAGCTGAGAGGCATCCTGTGGTTTACCAGGCATCCCTTCATACGTGAAAGCCTCACTTTTAGATAATGGATAGGAAGAAGACATATATATCTATGAGAATCTTGATGACCATTGATATCTTATATAGAGACCAGTAAGAAGAGATTCAGGCATTCGTTCATTAACCTCAATTTCCTTACATGATATTGAACTGCAACTATCTTTCTTTATTCTTCTCTGCCCTCTTGGTCTGTCGTTTCAACTTGGACTGCCCTACACTTCAATCGCAGATTACTGCCAAAGTGCTGTATCTGAGACAATAGATTCGACATGTATCGATTTGTTCTCCATCTCCTTGCAGCAGCTCTACCAGTTGCTGCGTCTGTGGTGCAGACATGCAGGCGCCTCGATGCTCAGATTCCGGGTCGCGTCTTCTACCCAGACAGTACGACATACAATTCATCCATTTCTTCTTATTACAGTGGCCAGGAACGCGAATTAAATCCTAGCTGCATTTTCAGACCCACAAGCACCTCTGAAGTGTCTCAGTTTATCAAGTTAATTGCTGATTGTGGAGATGTCAAATTTGCTGTTAGAGGTGGTGGTCATACTCTCTGGACTGGAGCCGCAAATATTGACGATGGTATCACGGTCGATATGCGTTCGTTGAATGGTTTGGATTTGAGCAAGGACCACAAAATTGCCCGTCTCGGCGGCGGTGCAGTTTTCAGTGACATTTACCCCAAGCTCGTACCTTATAACTTGACCGTTATGGGAGGTCGTGTTCCAGGTATTGGAGCGGGTGGTTTTGTTACCGGCGGTATGTGTTCATATTTACCATTTTCAACTTTATAGAAAGCTAACTTGCCCTCACTCAGGTGGTATCACATTTTTATCGCGCAGACACGGCTACAGCTGTGATAACGTCTACGGCTACGAAGTTGTTCTTGCGAGCGGTAAAGTCGTCTATGCCACCGAGAGTTCTTATCCCGACCTCTGGCTCGCCCTGAAGGGTGGCTCTAACAATTTTGGTATTGTCACTCGATTTGATCTTGCTACTTTCCCACTAGGAAACATGTGGTATAGCGACCTCAGCTATAACTACACTGATAGCGTGCTTTCGGCACATGCCAAAGCCTTCAGTAACTTCATGAAGCCCGCCAACTACGATAGCGCTGCCATGATGGGAGTATTCTTGTATTATACAGGTCAAGGTTTTGGTGTCTCCGACGCCATGTGGTATGTTGAAGATGTTGCAAACCCAGCCGTTTACGACGCCTTCACCAAGATCCCCAACCTCGGTGGCACATCGGAGCTTGCCACTGTTGATAAAGTGGTGGAAGCATTTGGAGAAAATCTTCCTGCTACTACAGGCCGGTACGTAATAACTATGCAGTTTGAATCAGCTGCATTGGCTAATGTCGTTACGTATATCCTTACAGATCATATCAACTCACCTTAACTTTCCAAAACCCTCCTGCCGCCGTCTACACGGAGTTGTTTCAAATCTGGGAGAAACGCATCACTGCTCTCGCCAATGTCAAGGGGCTCTTCATTGAGTTCCTCTTACAACCTCAGCCGGTTACTAATGGCACTAATATGTTTGGTCTTACTCCTGGGAAGACCGACGATGCGCTCATCGATATGACGGCTGCCTACAATAACGAGTCTGACGATGCATTGGTTGAATCGGTCATCAACGACATTGTCAACAAGCAAAGATCATTCCTGAAATCGCGTGGATATCTCCTCGACTTCATCTACCTCAACTACGCTGATATTTCACAGAACGTGCTTAGCACGTGGGGCAACAAGAGTCTCTCCAAACTCCGGGCTGTTAGCAAGAAGTATGACCCCAAGGGTGTGTTCCAAAAGAAATCTCCCGGCGGCTATAAGCTCTTCAAATAAATGTACGATATGGCGTTGCGTTGTATATGCACATTGTCATTATCTATTGGTTATTTCCTAGAGGCCAACTGTTAAGACTTGTAAGGCGAAGACTCACATTTAGCTGCTTAAGGCTTGGTTAGAACTCAGACAAACGAATATGTATCAAGACTGTTGGATCCGTCGTGTATGCTTTCTGTATTTTAGTTCTATTATAGATGCTATAGTTAGTTAGATAGACAATGCTTCCTCTATAAGACATTTACCCCAGTGATGAAGTCTGTCTTCGTATTTAAATCCCATATAATCGGACTATTCAATCGCCTATTTCTTCGATTTACTGGCTATTTAGATAATCTATGTAGCTGATGTAAGAGGCATGGCGCTGACTACTTGTGATTCAGATGTAGGGTATGTTGTTTCAGGAACTTGGCTCGGTAATGGTAATTCACTGGCTTGTGTTTCAACGGCATTCAATCGTTGATGAAAAGATGATGCAAAAATTCTCAAATAAAATTGTAAGAGCCAATGTTCTATCTTCTACATGCTAATCATCATAATTTGTGTTCTCAACTTATTGCGATCGAAATATCCATCATCTGCCCACCAACACCTCTGGGCATAGTAACAATCTAG